CTGCTGTCTCTGAAGCCCAGGGGAAGTCCCAGAAATCCCAAGCCCACTGTCTCCCGAGGAACAGCACCACGGTGCTGGGACAGATATCAGATGGAGACGCAGCTGAGTAAGAGCAAATTCGGTTTGGAGATGTAGGTACAAGTTTCTGTTTTGACACTGAGCTGCTGTGTGACCTTGGGCGAGCACCATCTCCTTCTGGACCTGTTTTTATCACACACTACTTGGATACTGCGCTGACTGTGACATGAAACTGGGACTCAAGGCATCCTCACTGCTATCAGCAATCTTGCTTGCAAAGATGAGGTTGGGTGGGGGCTGCGGGTGGGTGTTTGTCTTCCAGGCAAGCTCAGGTTTACTAAGTGGCTTGTCCACATTTTTCTGGATGTGACAGTTTGTGTGCAAGGAGCTGGTGAGGGGCTCTGTCCAGCTCTGGCACGGACAATCAGGTGAATGACAAATAATCTCGCTTGCTCCGGGTGGACGTAGCTGCTGGAGGATGCTGTTAATTCTGCTGTTTACAGAAATAAGTCCAGTGTGAGTGGAGGCTTTTTGGTGTTGCAAACCAGATGGTATTTCCAGCCTTGATCAGCCTCAGAGCTTTGGTTCCCATGGCAACCCTGAAGTTCCACCTACTGCTACTTCCTCCTTCTCCAAGCTTCTTCCTCTTCCACTCTGGTGTCAGGATCCCTGGAGAACAAAGCCACTAAGTACCTGTGTATAGCACCTTATAGTTTACAGTACACTCCCGCCTTTAGTACCTCATTTACTCCTTGCTGCAGTCTGGTCAGACGGCATTTCTTCTCCCTCCATTTCACAGACAGAAAAATCAAGACCGCAGAAACGAGGTAATCTGCTCTGCCTTCTTCTCACTGGTGTTGGCAAAGCCTGAACCTAAAGCTGATGATTTCTGGATCATCCTCTGAGCTTACAGTTCCCTGTATGTTCCGTGCTGTATGTAAGAGTCTGAATCAAGGTGTGACATCTTTACACAAGTTACTAGTATGTGTTTTCTCTTTATTGTATCTAGAGTTCTACGCCAGTCACTCAACTGTCAGGTCCAGCTACTCATGTTGGGCTATTTACCCCAACATGAAAAATAATAGTGGTGAAGGGCAGAGAAAGGAGATTATTGTGTGGTATGGGGAGGCTGCAGGATAGGGCAAAGAAAGCATGTTAGTCCATTTTTTCATAGTCCATCTCCTTGTGTAAGCGGTACCTGGATGACAGTGCCAGCTGTGTGCGATAAATTTAATGCACTGCTTCTCCTGCTGCAGTGTGCCAATACATTCCCTTGAGACCATGTAAGGCCTGCATTCCTTTTAAATGTCCTGAGGACACCAAAGCTGCTGCTAAGGAAGCACCATAAGAATGGGATGAAAGCTGCATCATGCAGAAGCATGCCCCCAGCAGCCACCAGTGCCTGGCTGCAAATCGGATTTTGAAAACTTGATTTTCACAAAACCAATGTGGCTGGGCACCAGTGGCTCATGTCTATAATCCTAGCTACTCAAGAAGCTGAGAGCTGAGGGTCACAGTTTGAAGCCAGCCTGGGTAAGAAAGTCTATGAGATGCTTATCTCCCATTAACTACCCAAAACCTGGAAGTGGGGCTTTGGCTCAACTGGTAGAGTGCTAGCCTTGAAAGAAACAGCTCAGGGACAGCACCCAAACTCTGAATTCAAGTACCAGTACCGGTACACACACACACACACACACACACATGCAGCCAATGTGTCTGAAGAATCTCATGTTTAAGTTCATGCTAGAAGGTAGATTAATAGAGCTTCATATGGCTAAAAAGTCTTCATATGCTAGATGCGAATCTGGCTGTTTGGGAAGCAGAAATGGGGAGAGGACCATAGCTGAAGGCCAGTCCAAGTTAAAAAAAAAGATGTTTTAGAAATATCATCTCAACCAGTGGCTGAGTGTGATATGCGTGCCTATTATTCCAGCTTCTCTCAAAAAGAGAAGCACAAATAGGATCACAGTTCAGGCCGGCCCAGGCTTAAAGCTTGGAAATAAGCAAGGCAAAAAGGGGCTGGTAGAGCCACCGGTTCAGCAAGCATAAGGCCCTGAGTTCAACCCTAGTACTACAAAAATAAAGGTTTGTTCCTTGTGCCTTCTTCCTGCCAGTTCTCTTCACTCTGTATTATTTATACGATTGTGGTTTGCAAACTGAATTATGTGCATTAAGTTAATTGCTATTCAATCACCAAGTATTTTCCATGTATTCTTGTCATCAGTCTGGCTGGTGCATCCCTGGCCCTTGTCGCAGGTCCCTCACCCAACTCCTCAGGCAGCCTCCAGCTGCAGGTGGTCAATACGGCTGTGCTGAGCAGCACCATGGCTGGTGTCAGGCGGATGTGTGGCCTGACCCTTGCCTAACAGTGAGAGACAAATGACAAGGACATCAGCTGCTATGGAAAGCATTTCCTACACAGCCCATGGCAGCTTTAGTCCCCAGGCCTGTCCCTGGAGCCATGACAGTTATTATTCCAGGGGAAGACAAGGAAGGCAGAGACTCAGCTTTGCAGGGGTGGGGGGCTTCCCCCAGTGCCTTCAATGCCCCCTCAGCCTCTGTGTTGCCTGAGGAAGGCCTTTAGCTATAGCCCTCATGTAGCACCCTAGGGCCTCATAGAAACTGTCTGGAAAGGCTCAGGCTCCCTGCAACGTCTGAGTATTTCCTAAGGTCAGTTTACCCTGTGATCTAGCTCATGAAGCAAGCCTACAGTCTATACTTTTGGGATTTTTTTCTGGCATTACTGGGCTTTGAACTCAGGCCACAAGCTCTCACTTGACTTTTTTACTCAAGACTAGTGCTCAACCATTCAAGCCATACCTCCATGTTGGGCTTTTTGCTGTTTAACTGGAGATAAAGGTTTCTCTGATTTTTCTGCCCAGGTGGGTTTGGAACAGAGATCCTCAGCTCTCAGCCTCCTGAGCAGCTAGGATTACAGGCATAAGCCACCAGCATGTGGCCTCAAGGCCTTTGGTTCCAGTTGGTTCTCCTGCACAAGCTCTTTATAGAGGTGGGACCAAAGGTGGACTGGCTTGCAGCCTATGTGGGGTCCAGCCACAGGAGAGGAACGTGGGCCAGGATAAGGGTCACAAGGGTGAGGACCCAGGCTGGGCCTTTGGAGGCTTGGAAGGTAGAACAGTGGACAGTGTCCATGCCAACCAAGCTTCTGTAAACACTCACTTGCCGGGAATGATTCTCATTGTGTTGAAAGTGGAGACAATTATTCCGCGGAAAGAGCGGTGGCAGAAAGAGTGGAGCAGGCAGCAACCAGCACATCTAAACAGAAAACAGGAACCTAACAAATAGGGAGAAGGCGGGGAGCCCAGAGGTGATAGAGGGTCCAGAGAACATCCACATCTTGCAAGGAGGCCTGGACAAGATGGCCCCTTATCACTCACTGTGAAACCTCTTCTGTGCTGGGTTTTGGGAACACTGACTTGAGACCTTAAGTGTACTTAGATACCTCCGGCCAACAGGGAGAGGAAGACTTAGAATAGGCAGATTGCTCACACTGAAGGGTGAGGCAGAGATAAGGACTGATGGTAGAAGGCCGGAAGGCCAGTCAGATGTCAAGGGCTAGGAGTTCCCCTTCTGGTCTCAGTCATTTCTTGTTATAAATAATGTAATACGAACCTGAACATTAACTGCAAGGTCTACCCAGAAGCATGAGTTCATACTGTTGTGCAGCCATCATATTAACTAAAGCCAGACACTCTGCACCCCAAAGGGGAACCCTACCATTCTCCCAATCCAGCCTGACAACCACTCATTGGCTTTCCATCTCTGGATTGCTGATGGTGGGCATTCGGATCATGGAGCCAAGCAGTGTGTAGACATCCGTGTGTACGTGCTCTCCCATAGCATGTGGTGTTTTCAGGGCTCATCCAGGCTGAACCAGGTCACAGAACTCTGTTCCTGCCTATGGCTGTGCAAGTCTGTTCTGTGAACAGAACACATCATGAATTCATTCACCTGGAGATGGCATCAAGTTGTCTCTACACATTTACATACAAGCTCTTCTTCTACAAATGCTTATCTTCCATTCTTTTGGGTACATAGCTGAGAATGGAAATGCTAGGTTGGTTATGTGGCCATTCCATGTTTAACTTATAGAAGAAATACTGCCCTTTTTATTCTGTCAGAGAGCCACAGAGCTAGATGGGGGCTTGCAAGTGGCCAGACTTGTTGGCTTCACTCACCAGTAAGGAAAAAAACAAAAACCTGAAAAAAAAGAAGCTACCATCACTGCATCCAACTCTTCCTGAAGTAGGAAGGACTTGGTTAGGATCACTCTATAAAATAAACACCAAGAACACTTGCCTCATACATGGTCTTTTCCTCTTGCTTTCACTTTATCTTGGCATCTGGGTACACCTGTCTAGTCCACCGGACCATAGCTGAACTTCACCTAGCCTCTGCCCACCTGGGAAGACATCTCCTCCCAGTGTTCCTGCTCGTGGGGGAAATGGCCCCATGCCACAGCCTCAATGCACTTTTGTTCTTAATGTTCCTCGTGGCAGAGCGTGCCAACAGGAGGTACTGAAATCAGAGATCAAGGACAGAGTGGGATTCTTGATAGAAACAAAAGAGAACCTCCGAGCTATTTATAGCATACCGCATACCCCTCACGAACAAGCTGCAGGGCCTAACTAGCAAGGTGTCATTTGCTTGTTTTGTTGTTGGCTGGATTATTTGCTGCTGACAGGCAGCAAGACATCATGAAGGGAATGTATATTCTAAAGTGAGATCTGCATTCGAGCCAAAGCTGACCTTGTTGGCTGTGTTTGACCTTGACAAAGCCGGTGCCCACTGGTATGCCATAGTCACCAAACCAACAGGAATGTTAGAACTGCCTCTCTGGGTAATTGTGGAGATGAGACACACGGAAACAAGCGTCCAGCAGCCCAGGGGTTTACCCCCTAACAGCTACACTAGAGAAAACCAGGCAGCATTTATACCACTGATGAGCAACAAATGAGGAGTAGAACTCACCACTGTTTAATAGAAGCAGTTTGGCAAATGAAACTAGAAGCATCAAGTCCCTGCATGAAAACAACCAATAATATAATAACAAATGTTTGCTGAAATGCAGTGGAAACCAGCTCCACAGGGCTAAAGCAAAATGACATCCTGGTCTCTGACCAGTGGATAGCGGTGGTCTTCTCAGCTACCAGCAGCCTCCCGAGGGTAGCCATGGAAGCCCCGGAGAGAGATCTTCCATCACCTCTTTCCGTTCACTCTGCTGGGAGGGGATCTTCATGACAGCTGGCCCACAGAGGGAACTCTCCTGTACCATGGCTACATTTCCTGTCTGTCATCCCTAAGCTTTGGTGAACCATCATCTCTTTGGGTCTGGCTTCTCTGCTGAGCTGAAACTGAGACCAGCTCTAAGTCTGTTCTTAGGAGAAATAGAGTTGCAAGGCCATTGGGGAGCCCAGCAAGCCTTCAGGAAACATCTGGGCCATGAGCACAAAATCCTTAATGAAAGAAGGCTCTACACCCAGCTCCCCTGAAAGGAGATCCACTCCCTGCCCACCTACCCCCAGCCATTCCTGCAGAATGTGGCTCTAACTTTATTAGGTGGAGGAACATCCAGTCTCATATGTTCAACAGGATGCCCTGGTTTGCAAGATGACATTAACTTGCTTGAAACAGACAGGGATGGCCACAGCAAAGTTTTCCATGTATGCCCTGATGTCGACATCTCCTTAATCTGGGATGCAGAATCCATCTTTTCAGGAAAGTCCCAGGCCCTGGCAGTGGGGCTTACTTGGAAGCCCAGCTCAGGGTAGATGTCTGCAGCCACCAGCCCGGGGCCTGGTCTGTACATTTTTGGGTAGCTCCAAGACAGAAGCAAACTGCCCACTCTACCGAATCAGCTCCCATGATTTCTTTGCTGAGAGTTCCCAGGTCAGACACACCAAAGGGCAGGAAGTCACTGGCTGGCCCTTGTATCTTCAGCGCTCCAATGCCGGCAGGACCACGTCAGCAGCTGTTACCTCTTGCTGGAAGCTGCTTCTTCTGGTCTCACCCATCCGGCCATGGCTACATTGAAGCAGAGAAGCAAACAAGAGGGAAAGATTTAAAACATGTAACTGTCTTTGAGACCCCTCCAATCAGCTCTGCTCCAGGGTGAAAGGACTTTTTCCAGTCCCCTTTCTCAAAAGGGAAAACGAGATGAAGATGCATGCCTGGTAATCCAAGGAGTGGCTGAACCAAAACCAAGCGAGGTCTTACTCTATGTCCATTGTTAGTTCTAGGGTCACACCATTATACACAGAAAATCAGAAAAACAAGTGCCTAGCTCACCCCTGCCCATTGATGCATAGTTCACACAGGGGATCTCTGCCTTCATAGCATTGTTCCTGGCCTGGACGCCCATTCTCTTCCTTACCTGTGGCTGTGCCCACACTTGCCTTTAGAAGTAGCTCCAGCTCTCCTCCTAGGCCAACCAAGCCAAGCCTGAGCTCTCATGCCGTTCCTTGCTTCTGCACACCGGCGTCATGAGAAGCCTCACACTCACTGTCCTTCCCACGTGCCTGTCTCCTCTGTAAGCCTATGGCTCTGGAGGGCTGGGGAGAGTGGTGCAGAGCAGGCCTGAGGCTGCGGCACCGTGATGAACAGCCCATGAACAGAGAGCCTGCTGGCCTCTGTATGATGGTCTGGCCAGCAGGGCTTGGACCTTGGCACTCAGTAGTGGGACACAGCTTGCCTGCTGGGAAACAACTCCCTTATTCTGCAGGACAGAGGCCCCATCTCAGATTCAGGGGGCTCCCTCACCCTGCTACCCCACTGCCAAGCAGGCTTCCTCTGGAGGGCTGCTTCCCAACGGCCCCAGCCTGGCTGAAGCCCTGAGCATCCCCTGCCTGCTCCCAGGGCTGAGGCTGCCTGGCTGCCCCTGTCTAACAAAAGCAGTGTTTCCCAGTGGTGTCCAGGGTTTGCAAGAGCATCATATAAGACTAACGTGCAAATGCTAGAAGCTTCATGGCCCAAGTGTGCTGAAGGTACCAAGAGACACTGCAGTGAGCGCAGCGTGCAGCGTGGCTTCCACCGAGTCTACCAAACCTCCCTGAGCACACACACCGCCCCCTCATTAAGACCTGTGCAACTGTTCCCAGGAGGCACCAGGCCATGGAACCAGGGGAGGGGGGAACACTGCTTGTAGAAAGGGATAGCTTCCCGGAGGTGGGCTAGGGGCCTGTGGGGCAAAAAGAGTTCCAGGAAGGGCTCATCAAGGCCCAGAACTCTTTGACACCAAGCACCTTAGAGAAGCAGCTTCTGGAGCCACTGGAATGCAGTGAGGAAGGTGATAGGTGTGATTTTCTCCTTCCTTTCCCAGCTGCAACTGGGGAAAGGTCAGGCCTGCCCCAAAGTCCTTTCACAACACAAAGCTCCCGTCTCTCCTGTGTGCCTGAATGAGAGTTCAGAACATGACATGACAGGGAACCTGAGCCCCATTGTGCCTGGTTCTCTACCCTGCAGGAAGGCCAGGTAGGAGAGAGCCATGTTGTGGACCCCCTCTCATCTTCTCTACAAATGGCTGTCTTTGTAGTAAAGACAAATGCATTGGACACATGGAGTGAAGAACACAGAAAGTGGTTGGAAGAACCCAGAGTGCAAGTACCGAGAAAGGCTTTACCTGGGAGGTGACCTGAACACAAGGAATGAATTTAAAGTTTTAAGGCAAGATGTAGTGGGGAGGGCTAATCATCTACCAACCCCTAAATGCTCATCTTACTCTGAGTTTAGAGGGTAGCTGGAAAGCTAGAGGAAGAGACTACATTTCCCAGCCCCCTTTGCTTCCAGGTGGGGCCAGGTGACACGGAGTAGCCAATAAAATGTAAGCAGGTGTTTATGCTTGCGTCAGTTCAGGGCAGTGGAGAAGTGGCTGTGTAGTCTGTCTCTACTGCCCCTTTCCCTTCTTCTAGGCAGAAGCAGAATTCAGAGGCTCCCAGGGATTCAGGGCACCCGAGAAAAGGAGCTGGGGCCCTGAGTCACTGTGTGAAACCACAGGCCAACCGGGAGACCGAGCTGGACTGTTAGGGGAGACCCAGTACCTATGAGTGCCAAATTGGTTACAGCACCAAGCATCCCCAACTGATGTTCCCAGCAGAGGGAACAATAGCCGGTGGTGCGACAGAAATGGCTTGTTTCCAGGTTCTGGGCTGGAACTGGCTATTTCAGGGGCGGGGGCTCAGAGAGCTCACGCAGGTGGCACACCAGAGGATCACGTACAGGGCCTGTTGCCTGGGGCCCTGGTGTTGCTGGCGCTGCTCTCAAAGGAAGAATGGAAGTTGTGGATGGTTTCCTGTAGGATTTGTCTCTCACGCCCCTGTGGAGGAAATTGAAAACAGACACAGAAAGTCTTGTTAAATCTTTTAACCATTAATTCAATTGACACAGTGTTGTTAATGTACAACTCATACTTGAAAAACCCATGGGCGTCTTGAGGGAAATAAAATGATCTAATTGAAAGAGTTTAATAAAAATGACTGAGTAAGAAGCTCCTCCAGCACCCACAATGGCAGCTGTCAGTGCTGGAGAGGTTCCTGGGTGTGGGATTCCATTTCCTGGGCAAAGAGGAACACGGTGCAGCTGGGCTGATACAAGGGTTCCCCATCTTTTTGGCTCTGTGATAAAATCTTCCAGGTCTGATTTCCAGAGAATTTCCAAGTCCATGTCTTCAGGTGAGTGAAGAGGGTGGACATGTCTGGATGCTAGGTGGCAGAATTCAGAGGTTAAGAACAGACAAGAGTCAAACAGCTGGGGTTCAAATCCCATCTCTCCACTTTTGCAAGGTGAGGGAAGTTGAGCAAGATATTTAATGTCTCTGGGTCTTGGTTTTCTCAGCAGTAATAGTACCTCAGATGGGCGTTGCTGCCCTGGGGGCCCTGTGGGCACTGAGAGACAGGCAGGGGCTGACCTCAGAGGAGGGCAGGGTACACGGAACATGAATGAAAAAAGATGTGGTTGGAATATAGCAAATTAAAAACATATAATCGGCCGGGTACCAGTGGCTCATGCCTGTAATCCTAGCTACTCAGGAGGCTGAGATCTGAGGATCACGGTTCAAAGCCAGACTGTGAGACTCTTATCTCCAATAAACCACTAGAAAACTGAAAGTGGTACTGTGGCTCAAGTGGTAGAGCTCTCGCCTTGAGATGAAGAGCCGAGGGACAGCGCCCAGGCCCAGAGTTCAAGCCCCACGACCAACCAAAAACAACAACAACAAAAAATATAATCTTGGGCAGATTTTCTTCTGCTAAGAGTAAGACCTGTCCATGAAATGAGCCCAGACTTTAAACTTCCTTTTTCTTTATTTCATGAGCTCCCCACCCCAAAGGGCCCCTCTCCACACCCTGCTCAGGAACGTTGCACTGAGAGGACAGTAAAGGTTCGCCCCTTATGCTGGTCCTTGACAATAACCGTAAGTCCATCCACACAAGTCTCCAGACTGTGGGGTCAGGGCAGGCACAGGGGACCTGGCGTTCTGCCCACCAGCGATGGCAGTGGTACCTGATACTCACCCCACCCCTGGCTCTACTGAACTCCTGTGTGTATAAAATGGAACACTTTAACCACGCATGGCTGCTAGGGAGCTCAATCTGAGTGATGCATGGGGCAGCCCAGGGCAAGCTGAGGGTGAAGAGGTAAACTGAGGGATGACAGTTACTTTATTATTAAGTGCCGCCTAAGCCTTATGTGTCTGAGAAATGGGTTGGGAAATTGGGGTTCTAGGGCTCACTACTTGCTAACCTTAGGACAATGCTGCAGGTGATTTAAGCCATAATCACTCCCCCCTCACCTCCCACCATCTGCCCAACTGAAGATGATGATAATTTCTTTGTAAGAACCACTGACTTTCCAGAGGCCAGTCTGGTGAGTTCCAAACGGAAAATAACAAATAGCCATTAACTATAGGGAAAAAGGGTTCAACACATCAAGTATTTAAAGAAATGTAAATGAGCCAAGGGCATAGATTTTTTTTTTTGAGCATGTTAGATCAATAATAACCAAGAAGAAGCTGACAGGACTCAGCCAGGATTCAGGGAAGCCAGATGCATTAAGTCTGGCTCTCTGACTCCAGAGTCCTGTTTTAGAAGTTTACCCTGAGAAAAACCCTCAGGAAACTAGCCAGGAAACTAGTTGTCTGCTGTATCCACACAACCAACAAGTGGGGAATTCCAAAATTAATTTGAAAAAATTAATTTAAGCACATCTATGTAAATGTATTATGTTAAAAAGAGTTCTGCCAGGCATTGTGGTACACACCTGTAATCCCAGCACTCAGGAGGATAAGGTCAGAGGATCTAGAGTTTGAGACAGTGAGAATCTGTTAAAAAAAAAAAAAAGGGTTGGGAAGGTGGCTCAGTGGTAGAGCGCTTGCTTTGCATGCCTGAGGCCCTGGGTTCAATTCCTCAGCACCACATAAGCAAAAAGAAAAAAGCCGGAAGTGGTGCTGTGGCTCAAGTGGTAGAGCACTAGCCTTGAGCTGAAGAGCTGAGGGACAGCGCCCAGGCCCAGAGTTCAGGCCCCACGACTGGACCCCCTCCAAAAAAAAAAACCCTCAAAAAACAACAAAAAAACTCCCCTAAAGAGTTCTTAGTCAAATAGATAGTTGTATAGATTTCATGTTCAACAAAGAAAGCAACATATAAAATTATAGACCCAAATTTATCTCAGCCACATTCTCTCTCTCACACACACACACACACGCACACGCACAAGCACGCACGCGCACACACACAACCAATTTGGCACAACACACTGCAAGTAATCTGCCTCAAAAGGAACAGTGTCAGCATTGGTGTCAGCCAGGTTGATGGGTTGATGGTGGTTTCTTTTTTAAAAAAATTCTCCTATGAGAAAACATGTGCCCTTTGTTTCTCTGAGACTGACTTATTTCACTTAACATAATCTTTTCCAGGTCCAACCATTTCTCTGAAAATGACACATCATTCTTCCTGATGGTGAGTAAAATCCCATTGTGCCTATATACACATATACATGTGTGTATGTGCACAAACAGACGTGTACATGTGTGAGCATGCACTGTGCAGGTGTACATACCTGTGCATTTACACACACACACACACACACACACACACATCCCATTTTCTCGATCCATTTGTCCGTAAAGGGCCTCTGGGCTGTTTCCATGTATGTGAACTAAAGTATGGTATTCACAAGGGAGGATTCCCATGGGGTTACTCCTTTAAACAAGTTACAGTTTAACACGATGGAATGTCAGCCGAATGGGGGCAGGCAGGGGTGAATGCAGTCACAGCATTCAGTGAGCATATGTGGACATGGAGCAGGTAAGCTGAGGGGACAGGTAGGGTGGGAGCGTTGGGGGGAGAAGGAGGGGGTGACACTGATCAAATCCATTGCACTCATAAACTGCCATGTTGAACTGAAACCTCTCAGAACAACTATCGAAGGGTAATAAAAAATGTTCACAATTGTTAAAACAAGAATCTCCATTCTGGTACTGTGAAAGCTTAGTAAGATGACAGTAGCGGGAAGGGAAACAGCAGGAAACAACGGCACAGGACGGAGTGAGGACAAGCCTTATATGAGCAGCTTCTGGTGAACCAGTAACACACGTCCCATTTGAAAACACTATACTAAGTTGCAGACTCAAGCCCATACTACAACTTGTGGGGGGTGGGGGAGTCTTGCCTGGTGGTTTCATGACTAACAGGCGGAGAGTCCACAGCACTCTGGTAATGATATGGTGCCTGCTCTATTTGCCGATATTCCATTATTTGGGAGCTAGGTTCTTGACCATTTTTTTTGAGGCTGCAGCACGCAAATTGTTCCCCCAAATATTTTCTTGATAGTGTAAGAAATGCATTTTCTATCACAACCTGTGCCAAGTACATACACATAGCCAAAAGATTCCTGCACAAAAGCATGTTGAGCATTTCTAATTCCTTCCTTCCATCTCCTTCCCTCCCTCCCTTCCTTTCATGTACCAGTACCAGGGCTTGAACTCAGGTCCTGGATGCTGTCCCTAAGCATTTTTTGCTCAAGGCTGGTACTCTACCACTTGAGCCACAGCTGCACTTCTGGCTTTTTGGTGGTCAATTGGAAATGAAGAGTCTCACACATACTTTCCTGACCAGACTGGCACCGAACGGTGATCCTCAGATCTCAGCCTCCAGAGTAGCTAGGATTATAGGTGTGAGAGAGCCAGTGGTGCCTGGTGCCCATTTCATTTCTTTAGAATGTTCCTTGTGTTTCTATAGCCCTGGGTGCTGTGGCCCTGGTGGGTAAGCAGAGCCCGGGTCAGAGTCTGTGTTCTTAGTTGTGTTCCGGGCATTTGAGCCACACTAATGCAGTCTTGGCAAAGGCTTGTGTGACGGGGAGGAGGAGCTCCCGCCCCACCGCAGTCAGAGGCAGGAGACCCGACGCATGGTCAGGCAGCTTGGGCCCCGAGTGACCGGGGCCAGGCATCCTCAGGGCTCTGTGAGCCATTTGTGGCCTGGGCAGTCATTTGTGCATTCTAGGAAGGACAAAGCTGGTGAGATTGACCCTTTATCATGTTCAGCTTCTCCCCAGCACAGCTTTCTCTACCTGATACGATTATCCCCAGGAAGGGGACCCCCCACACGCACCACCCTGCCCCTTTGGCCAGCTGCTGTGGCATGCCTGGCGTGGCAGGCTGGGACCACCCATGGGAAGAGCATGGGTGGGCCTGGGCAGCACCTTGGTCCTGCACTGCAGAGGCTTGACGGGAATCTGGGTGGGAGCCAGTGAGCTGGGTCCCCAGGAAGCACTGCCGGTAGCTGCCCCTTGTGCTTGTGACGGGGCCCTGGGCAAAGCGTGACGGGAGGCCCAGACGAAGCAAGGAGCCGGGGTGCCGATTCAGAGAGAGGCCACAGAAAGTTCCAGACTGCCCAAAGACAAATGTCCTCCTGTGGCGTGAGCTGAGGGTGTGGCCCTGCTCACTCTGAAGGGAAGTTATGCGTCCCGAGGCTGCACACCAGCTCTGTCTTCCTTCTGCCATCCGCAGCCACCGTGGGGAGCAGGCTCTGCTGCTCCCGCCGGTCCTCACAGGGCCTCATAGCCACAGCCTTTCCTGGCTCCCTCTCTTGATTGGCCTGAGCTCCTTTGCTGCCCGTCTCTCTCCCGCTATCTGCCCTCTAGAGACCGCTCCAACTCCACAGCCCCAAACACCAATCACTGCCTCCTTCCCAAAGCCCTTTGCCCATATTCGACTGAGTCACCCTGACCGCCCTGGGGCCCTCTGCCCTTCACACCCAACTCCTATTCTCTGAGCCCCAGCCACTCCCTCCCTTTTTCAGTATACCACACGTCTCTTCGCCCCAGGGCCTTTGCACATGTGTTGCCTTCAGCCTGGTCTAACTCTCTTGTTCTACCCAGGGGTTCCTATCAGGGCGCGGCCTCCTGCGGTGTGAGGGCTCCCGGGAGCCGCACCGTGGATGCTGTGAGCAGTTCTGTGGACGTGGACAGTGTGAGGCTGAACTTTCAACATTCCCACACCACCTGGCAGGGCAGGCGCACAGCGAGTGGCACCCTGCGTGGCAACTGGTGATGGCTAGGGCTGAGCCGCCCTCCAGAGCCACCCTGCACACCAGTTCTCTGGACGATGCTCTTCCCAACTCTAGTGGTGGAACAGCTTCTGCCTGCCACCATCCCCTCCCCCCGCCCCCAGGCTCCAAGTCTAAGGGCAGAGCAGAAGCCGTGCTGGTCTGGAAGCCAGGGGCCACTGCTGGGGGCCACTGCCTCCCCGAGGCCGCGGCTCCCTCCACCCCGAGCCTCTGCTGCCTTGCCAGCCAGACCCCGCAGGTGTGAGGACTGGTGTGTGAGTGACTTGCGAAAGGTAAAGAGTCCTGTCAGTATTTATCTGCTGCTGGCAGGTAGGCTGTGCACGGTCTGGGCGGACGCAGAGAACAGGAAAGCGGCTGTGCTCCCAGACGCCAGCTTGAGGGACAGCCGCCGGCACCTCCATGGAAGGGGAGCAAGAGCAAAGGGGCAGGAAAGGGCCGAAGGCAGAGCTGCCCACAACGGTCCTATTCACGCACTGGCAAGGTGCCATGGTGGACAGGTAAGCCGCAGGTCTGAGGCGGGAGGCCGCACCTTCCTGGGGCCTCTCTGGTGTGTGTGCCTGCCTGCTGATGTGTTAGCTTTAAAGCGGATGAGCAGACGTTCAACTTTAGACAGACACATGGGTGGCCATATCGGTGACGGCGGTTGACAGCTCGGGGTGCCAGGAACCCCACCAAGAGCCATCACTGCACCCTGCAGGCGCCGAGCACTCCGAATGGGCAGGCCCTGCCCGGGTGCCAGCCCTGCCTGTGCCCAGGGCTCTGCTCCTGTGCCCAGGGCTCTGCTCCCCACTGCTGCTAAGGGTGACGCCCCCCTGCCTGCCATGGGTTGAACTCCCCGGAGGGATTGTTTTAGTTTAGGTGAGCGACCACCATGCAGAGAGAGATGTGGGGAGAAGAAACAGGTCGCATGGGAGGTGCTAAGGGCTTGTTCCAAGGGTGCCACCCATGGTCCATTGGCCACAAAGGCCCCAGGACCCGCGCGAGGGGCGAGGGGGTCCCAACAAGAAAAGAAGGAAGGCGGAGGACGGTACCTTGCCTGCGTTCAGCTCGGAGATGGCTGCCAGGATCTGTTGTCGGGACCCGTCGGTCTTAATGCCCAGCTCCTGCAGGTCGCCATCGGTGAGTGTAAGGAACGCTTCCATGTCCACCTGCAGGGGAGGGGGGCAGAGGGGAGGGATCTATCGCCATGCCAACACAGCCGAAATACTGGTGACTGATCCTGACTGGCCACCTCCCAGCCCTGGCTTTACGCTTCCTGCTCCACCCAGCCCAGCCCTTGGCTCTCCAAATGGAGAGACCCTTAAAAGCACAAGAGCAAGGATGATCCTGGGCCGCCAGAGGGTGGGCGCCAAGTCCGGCCTCCGGAAGCCAGTCCCCATGCTACCGCGATTCCCAACACTGGACGCCACCCGGGAAGGTGTGGGCACGCGCAAGTACTCACCGGGGTTCCCTCCCAGCGGACAAGAGAGGTGCAGACTGCGAAAAGACAGAGAAAATACGCAGAAGCAAGAAAGGAAAGCAAGGCTGGGGAGAGTGGAGGCAGAGAGGCCACACTAGCAGATCCAAGCGCTACCAGCCTCAGCCAGGCCTGGGCCTGGAAAGGCAGCCCGGACTCTGCTCCAAGAGAGAAGCTCACAGGCCCCTATCCTTGCAAGATGGGATGAAGGAAGCATACTCATCACCCACACGTGGGATAACCACAGCCTGAGTGTGAGGAGTCGGACAGAGAACAGGCTTCCCTGCCCAGGCAGATTTCTATCCTATATACCCTGTAGTGCATGTGGAATGCAGATGTGATGGTTGGAGCTCTGGCAGCCACACTGACTTAGGAAATGAGAGCTGCACACTTAGTAATGGTGGAGCAGAGAGCTGGAAGGACCCTGGATGACTTCTCTCCAAGGCAGAAATAATCTATTTGATCATAGTTATTTCGGTTTTAATAGATGGAGCCACATCTGATCTGTTCTAATACAGGTAAAAAGGTGATCCGTGAGTCTTGAGTTTAATTTAGACAAGACGAGAACACGCGGTACCATGTTTCCTAATCTGATGGCTGAGTGCATAATGACAGGACTGTTTCCTGCACTGGGCTCGGGGGAGGGTTATTCACACACCAGGCACTCTGCAAGGGGACAGGGCAATGGATGGGTTAACTCTGCTTCCACTAAAGCCTAGGTATGAGTGCTCATGGTGGGGGGGAGGGGCTGGGGTGGAGAACATCCCAGCTCCAGCCAGCTGATGAGTTTCACAGAGGGCAGTCCCCCGAGGGTGGGCACGGCTGCATGGGCTTCTGACAGAGCAGGGTTCTGCGCAGGTGCAGACCTGACACCCACCCGGTTTGGGTGGGAGCCTCCAGTCTCTCCAGGCCCTGCTGCGGGCTCCAGTGCCTCCCTGTTTCCACAGCAAATCTGCGCACTCTGCCTCCTGACCCTGAGGGACTTCAGTGGGAACCCCCCCCCCCCGCCTTGCTCTCTGCGTCTGGCAGGTGCAGCAGCTCCGAGCCAGGCCTGACTGGGACCCCAGCACGCCAACAGAGTGGGGGAAAACATCAGAATGAATGTGACCTCCTAAAATGGACGCTGTGGGGGAGTGGAGGTCTGCCCCGAGGGAGGTGTGCTGGGCGCACCCAGCCAGAGCTCCAGGCGGGAGAGCAACACCAACCAGGAAAGAATTCTCAGAAATGGAAAAAATCCTCACGACCCTTGCAAATGGCCAGAGGCAGGAAGGACAGTCAGGACAGGGCAGAGAGAATCAGGACACAAGGAAGAGAGGCACCCACCCGGCCACCTCCTGAACCAGGACACAGACACCTCAAACGCACCCGCAGCTTGCTGGGGTGCTAGGTGGCTCTCGGGGAGCCACTGTACTGAGGACAGAGTTCACACGCTGAGCCCGGGATCTCCCCCACCCACCCCGTGCTGCTGGCCTGAGGTTTTATTTGGCTAACACACTCGCTTTTGTGACAGTTGTTTTTGGGATGTAATTCATCTATGATTCAATTTGTGACCTGCGGTTTGGTCACAGCTACACATGCTCAGCATCAGGACATTTCCATCATGCCCTAAAAGAAACCCTGCCCTCCCCCCCAATCCCTCGCACCCACTACCCTGCCTTCTGTCTCTGTGAATCCCTTCCTATAAACAGAACCACACCCACACCCTAACCGTGTGACTGTTTTTGTTTTCATTTAGCATAGTTTCTTAGAGATCTCTCTATAGGCCAGTATTTCTCTCTCTCTCTCTTTCACTCACTCTCTTTCTCTCTCCCTTTTTGGTTGGCTGTAGGGCTTGAACTCAAGAGCCTGATTGCTGTCCCTGAGCTCTTTTTGCTCAAGGCTAGCAGTCTACCATTTTAAACCACAGCACCACTTCCTGTTTTCTGGAGAGAAGAGTCTCATGGACTTTGCAGCCTGGGCTGGCTTTGAACTGCAATCCTCAGATCTCTGCCTCCTGAGTAGCTACGGTTACGGGTGTGAGCCACCAGCGCCCAGACCAGTATTTCTCTTTTTAATAGCTAAGTACTATTCCCTCTCTAGAGCAGGTATTATTTCACCTTTGTGACACACATTTGAGCTGTTTCCACTTTGGGCTGGGGATGTCTGTGTACAGCTTCCATGTGGCCCCTGTCTCCACTTCCTCAGGACACACCTAGGAGTGGGCCTCTCAGATCACCTGCTAACTCTGGAACATTTTCATAAGATGCCTGCCTAGAAGAGTCATGGGTTTTTTTGTTTTTGTTTTTGTTTTGTCAGTCATAGGGCTTAACCTCAGGGTCTGGGCTCTTCTGCTCAAGGCTAGTACTCTACCACAGTAGAGCCACAGTTCCACTTCTGGTTTCTGAGCCACAGTTCCACTTCTAGTTTTGTGAGTGGTGGTTAATTGGAGATAAGAGTCTCATGGCCTTTTCCTGTCCAGGCTGGCTTTGAACCCTGATCCTCAGACCTCAGCCTCCTGAGTAGCTAGGATTACAGGCACGAGCCACCAGCACCTGGCAAGCCATGTATTTTACAGGTGACTTTAGGAGCTTGTAAGTGGACAGGAAGCCTCAATGACCCACAGCCGGTGTGAGTCATCTGTTCAAGCTCTGCAGGATCTGCTTGGGCCCCTTTAAGCCTGCCAGCCAAACCCATGTTCAGGAGAGACACAGAGCAGGGCTCCAACTGACAAAGTTCAATGATCATGAAGCCCGCAGGAGCTCATGGTGCCGGGCTGATGTACAGACCCCAGGACACTTCCTCTGCTGCCTGGAGGGAAGGAGCGCAGCTAGACAGTGTGCTTCTATACCGAGACTTGACACAGCCACCCTTACCTCTTGCTCCTCAAAGATGGGCTGGTACTTCTCAAGTGATAATTTCTTAAGGATTCCAGTCAGTTCATCTTTAAGAGGAAGAGGGAGAAAAAAAACCCCACATTTTAGAATTTGGTAAACTGTGACAAGAATGCTCTTCGGAGCTCTATTAACAGAGGTTATCCTATTGCACATGAAATTCTACAAGAAAACCAACACAGAAAGCAACTGAGCATTCGCTTCCGCAGCTACACCCCTTACCTGCCAGGCAGCCCCTGCCACCTCCAGAAACCCCAGCTGCAAAGACAAAGCGTGGCCAGGGCTGGCCCTTCTGGTGGCAGTGGCCAAAGGAGTGGGTTCCCCTCGTGAAGAATGCAGCCAGCGTCACTGCCAAGGCTAAGGCTGCAGTCCTCGGCTGTCTAAGAGAGAGAGCCTGGAGAGCAGCAAGAAGTCTGTAGGCTAGGGTTGGGGGTCTGGCACATGGATACTGTGGCCTTCTAGAAGGATACATCTCAGTGGGTGGCAGAGGCCACAGGGCCCCTTCCGGGGAAAAGATGTGGATCAGAGCAGGCAGGATAGAGAATGAAAACAAGCTGGGCACCAGCGGCTCACACCTGTAATCTTAGCTACTCAGGAGACTGAGATCTGAGGATCATGGTTTGAAGCCAGCCCAGACAGGAAAGTCTGTGAGACCCTTATCTCCAATGAACTACTCAGCAAAAGCCAGAAGTAGCACTGTGGCTCAAGTGGTAGAGCGCTGGCCTTAGGCACAAAGAGACCTTGGCACAGTGCTCAGGCCCTGAGTTCAAGCTCCAGGACCACCAAGAACAGATAAAGAAAGAAAACAAAACTAATTTTTTTGTAGGGGACAGGGGCTGGAAGAAATATGTACTCACACCTTCAGTAGGGATTTACCAGGCCAGGCCCTGCGGACTTAACAGATCAACCTTGTGCAGCCTGACAGGCCACAGCAGCAAGGAAGGAGGGCGCAGGGTGGGGGTGACGTGGGCACAGGAGAATGCTGTTCTACTGAGAGTCTCCCTGACCAGGGGCTATTCAAGCAGTACATGAAGGAGCAAGCTCTGTAGGTATCTGGGGGCAGAGCATAAGGCAGCATCCAGAGAGAGGTAACAGCAAGTACAAAGGTCCTGGGGGCAGTGAATGAGTTCACAGAAGAGAGTGGCGGGCCTCAGTTTCTCCTTCTCACCCAGTCACCATCGGCAGTGGCTGGCAAAGTGCCCAAGTGCATGGTGGGGATGGGGGATAGAGAGAGTGCCCTGTCATGAGGTGGCTGGGGAACACTGGGAAGATGGACTGATGGGCGAAGCTCACCTTGGACACCCTCAACATGGAGGTGTGGGGATCGCTCTTTATAGCCAGCTGGCGAGACAGGCCCTAAGGCTGTCTTCACTGACAGAGGGGAAGAGAGGTATAGGAAGGCCCGGCTGGGGAAGGGGGGAATCAGACTGCAAACCCCTCACCATGGTGTGTGCTGTGGTGAGGGCCACCAGCCAGTGAGCTGGACAGAGGACAGCTGGCCCCCACCCGGGAGACGGGGGAAGGCTCTGAACAAAGAGCTACTGAGAATCCAGTCCTGATCCACACTGAATCCACTGCACCTTCCCAACCCCACACCAACCTTGGCTCCTGCTGTTCTCTCCACAGGTGGCCTCCTCCACTGCAGGTGCTGGTGCTGCTTAACAACAGGTTCTCCAGGGAAAGCCAGCCCCCCCACCCCCGCCCCCTGTACTGGGATTAAACCCACGGCCACACTTGCTCTACCACTGGAGCTCCACCCTAGCCCTTTTATTTTCAGTTTGTTTTAGAGGCATGGTTTTACAAACTTTGCCTTGGCTGGCCTCAAAGTCCCCAATCCTCCTGAGTAGCTGGGATTATGGGTGTGTGCCACTGGACCTGGTTCAGTTCCTTCAGATTTTACTGCAACAAAGGATGTGCCATGTGTGGCTAATGAATACTGATGAACTATACAGCACTCCTTGCTGTTAATTCCAACTGGGTCTTACCAAATACATCCAGTTGCATAACTGACGTGCATGTTAGCTGATAGTGGTGTTGACGTGAGCAGGGAAGAAAATACAACAGCAAAGAAAAATGTTGGAACTTCCTGTGAGCAACTGGGTTGAATCAAACCCTGTGCTGTTCACCGTATAATGGCTACAGACATGAGGCCCTTTCAAGCTATTAATGTCTTCTTCCTCAGTGTCTAGATTATGGTGGTTGACCTACCAAACAATACACTGAGTCCTCATTTGTGTTTGTGTCAGTTTCTGCAATTTCAACCCATCAGACTGTCAGCATTGTCTTCTTTCCATCCCAGGTAGGGCTTTGCAAAGAGGGGTGTGAGTGGGCACAGGCAGACTTCAGGATGCCCTGTGTCTCGGCTCTTCCTTGGTGGAGCAGAGAAGCACCCCCTCTACGAACCTGGGAGACGGGTGGGTAACACAGTACCCACAAACCTGCAGAGTAACACGCGGGAGGAGACTCTGACTCCAGGGCAAGTGAGGGCAAGCACGGTGGGGCTGCCCCTGAATCTCCTGAGCCTTTATACACGGCTATGCTGGACTCACAGAACTATGAGAGGAGACCCCAAATACAGACACCACCGGCAGCAACATGCATCCATGCGCTGAGCCCAGCATGGTGCCTGCTGCACATCGCAACCCAGTGCCCTTAGGCATGACCCACTCAGCACACCACGCTGTCCCGGGTGTACACATGATGCCCACATGTGCCTACATCTCTTCAGGCTGCCAGGCTGCATCTCTTACCAGCTCTCCCTGAGGCCCCACCCCTCCAGGGCACACAGGACATTGCTGAAGGATGGAGTTTTTCTCTTCACCTTCCTTTGTCTTTCCTGGGCGCCATGGCTAGCTGCACTCCTGCCTACCACCCACTCCAACTTCTGTCCCCCAGGACTCAATGGGAGGGTGGAGGCCAGACAAGCAGACGCCTGGGCTCTCCTGCTTTTAGCAGACACAGTATTCCTGCTGCCTTGTATCCAGCTCCTCCTTCTTCTGGAAACAGCAGTGTGTGTGTGTGTGTGTGTGTGTGTGTCTGTGTGTCTGTGTGTGTGTCTGTGTGTGTGTGTGTCTGTGTGTGTCTGTGTGTGTTTCTGTGTCTATGTGTGTTTCTGTGTGTGTGTGTGTGTGTGTGTGTGTCTGTGTGTGTGTACTGGGGTTTGAACTCAAGCCCTCGTTGCTGTCCCTCAGCTTTTTCACAGCTGGCTGGCACTCTCTACTACAACTCTACTTTCAGCTTTTTTGGTGGATAATGGAAGTTAAGAGTCTCACAGATTTCCCTGCCCTGACTAGATCTGAACCTCAGTCCTCTGATCTCAGCCGCCTGGGAAGCTAGGGTTATAGGCGTGAGCCACAGGGCCCTGGTTAGCACTTCTATTTTACTTTGAGGATCTCCTACCCTCTTCTAATCCACACCATGTGAGTAGGGGGGGGAGATGGGGCCCCACATTCCAGCCCCTGGACACAGGGACAGGCAGGCAAGGATGGTCAGGGAAGGATTCATACATATAGCCAACCAAGGTCATGACCATTTCCCTCAGGGCTTTGCTTGGACCTACAGAAAAAAAGCAGCACTGGTTCTGCTAGGTATACAAAATGAACAGGATGACCAGGTTAGCCTGAAGCGGCTTGCCAGCTATCAGATATGCAGAGAAAGACTCCAAGGTGCCTGGATCCAGACATGCCTGAAACACACCCCTGACTGCCCCTATTACCTGAGACAGGGAATTTGCTTTTTTTTCTTAAACCAATGTGAGAGAGATTCCCTCACTTGCAACCTAAAAGAAATCCTGACTTGTACAGGGTTCAGGGAAAGTAGATGTTTTGGAGCCTGACAAGCAGTTCCACAGGTGTATGTGGGAGCCTATAAACAAGACTTCCTATATCCAAAAACCACTTGTGGGAGTTACCACAAGGTAAACCAGGTGCTGGTGGCTCACACCTGTAATCTGAACTACTCAGGAGGCTGAAGTTTAAGGATCATGGTTTGAAGTCAGCCTGGGCAGGAAAGTCCATGAGACACTTATCTCCAATTAATAAGCACAAAGCTGTAGTGGAACTGTGGCTCAAGTGCTAGGGTACCAGTCTGAAGCAAAAACATCACGCAAGGGCAAAAGGCCCTGAGTTCAAGCCCTAGCACCAGCACAAAACAAAAACAAATACAAAAACAAAAATCCCAAGAGAGTCATGTTGAAGTTCTTAAAATCTTGACCATGGAGTGGGGTACCAATGACTCACACCTGCAATCCTAGCTGCTTAGAAGGCTCAGATTGAGAATTGAGGTTTGAAGCCAGCCTGGGCAGAAACATCCATGAAATTCTTATATCTAATTAATGGCACGCACACACACACACACACACACACACACACACACACACACACACACACACACACACACACACACACACAGAGCCAGAAGTAGAGTTGTGGCTCAAGTGACAGCGCATTAGCCTTGAGTAAAAGAAACCCAGGGACAGTGCCAACACCAAACAGAAAAAAAAAAAAAATCCCGACCAAGGATGGCTCTTGACATTCAGGGCGCCAGGTGTGGTGAAGCAGCTGGGCTGGGGACCCCGGGGCACTACTCACCCTCATCGGTAATGGTGCCGCTGCTGGAGCCCCCGCTGCTCTTGGACTGCCTGTGGGAGGAGGAGGAGGACACAGAGGACTCGGCCGCGTGGCCTTTGGGGGAGGGGGAGGGTGTGAGGGTGGGCGAGGTGCTCTTGGAGGTGGTAGAAGTTCCAGATGAAGGCCGCTGGCTGGTGTCCAGTTTCTGAGGGGGGCGGGAAGAAAAACAGAGAACTTCAAAAACAAAATGAGAGAAACGCGGATAGAATGGGATGATAAAAGCAAAACAAGGCACAGTTAAGGGACGTCCACACTGTCCTAATGACCAACAGAACAGACAGAGACTCAGTCAGCTGCCACTACAGAACCTCCCCAGTGACAGAAACCAAATACTCTGTTCTCAAATGGCAGCAAGTGGGAGATTCACTTCCAGCCTAAAGCAGACATCAACACCCTTAAAGAAACAGAAGAACAGACGGAAATGGAATTAAAATAGAAATCAGTCACAGAAACTTCTGGAAACCCCCTCAAATGACTGCAAAATAAAAATAAATAAATCCTTCTAAATACTAAACCAAGGAGGAATTCTCAAGGGGAGTGAAAAAAAAATTTAATAGAGTTAAAATAATATGTTAAAATGGTAGGACGCAGGAAAAGCTACACCTAGAGGTCAACTAGTATCATTAAGCGTTTATACTAGAAAAGGAGAAGACAGGTGTGGTGATCCATACCTATAATCCAAGCACTCAAGACGTCCAAGAAGGCAGATAATGAGGCCAGCATGGACTACACACTAAGACCCTGTCTCAAAAAGCCCCACCACATGCCTTCATACCCCCAAAAAAAGAAGAGAAGGAAGATCCCTAAAGAGAATATAAGAGAAAGATAAAACCCAAATCACGGAGAAGGAAATTATAGATAACCCTAGAAATGAAACTGAAAACAAAAACAATAGAGGAAAGAAAGTTGGTCCAGTGAAAACTCAAGAAAATTAACAAACCTTTAGCCAGATTGACCACACAAGAGAGAGAAGTAACAAATCACCAGTATTAGCAATGGTAAGGAGATATCCCGACTCCATACTTGAAAATAATAATAAAGGAAAACTGCTAACGCTATATTGAAAATCCAACAAATGAGATAATTCCTTGAAAGATACAGAATACGAGTCTTGCTCAAGAAAAAATAGATAGCTTAAGTAGTCCTGTGTCTATAGAACCTTCTTTGTTTCTGTGCTGGTCCTGAGGCTTGAACTCAGGGCCAGGTATTGCCCCTGAGCTTATTTTGCTCAAGGCCAGCACTACCACTTGAGCCACAGTGCTACTTCCAGTTTTCTGGTGGTTTATTGGAAATAAGAGTCTCATGGACTTTCCTGCCAGGGCTGGCTTTAAATTGCGATCTCAGATCTCAGCCTCCTGAGTAGCTGGGATTACAGGCATGAGTCACCAGTGCCTGGCCAGAACCTTATTTCTTAAGTTAAAATAAATTTTGTAAGGTAAAAGCTTCCAAAAGAGAAAATGGCAGACCTAGAGGGCAAATGTTGTTAAACAAGTAAGGAGGAAAAACCGTCGTATCGATTCTACATGATCTCTTCCAGAAAAACTGAAGAGGACATGGCTCCCCCCCTCTCCCTGAGTGGACAGCATGACCCTGTTTTCCTGACAGCCCTTTAAGATATCATGACACTGCCTTTGCTTTGTGTGGTTTCTGACAAGTCTGCTTGACGTCATACTTATTTTTTGTCTCTTGGTATGTGATTTCCTTTTACTTTGGCTGCCTTTGGTATTTCTCTTTGCCTTGTTTTTGGAAGTCTGAATGTGGCCTATCCAGGTGTGTCCTTTTCTGCAGTTTTCCTGTTTACTGTGCTCTGGACGATTCCCATTCGTCACTGATTTGGAGAAATGGTGAGCCATCATTTCTTGGATAAATTGGATCTGATCATGTGCTGATGGTAATTATTTAAATAATCCTTCTGTCCCCTCTTCCCTCTCCCTCTTTTCCTGCATGCTAGAGTACTGCCCAGAATTATGCTGTACTGTTTTTGGGGATTTAAAAAAAAATCTTGTGTTTTATCTAGGGCAATTTTTATCCACTGATCTATCTTCAAGTTCATTCATTTATCCTTGGCTGTGTCAACTTTGAGATGTCTGTTAAAGGTGTAGGAGGTTTTCTGGGCAAAAGTGCAAGGTTCTATCTGGGGGGAAAACCCTCAAAGCAAAAGGACTGGGGTGTGGCTCAAGTGGTAGAGTAAGCACCTGCATAGCAAGCAGGAGACCCCAGAGTTTAAGACCCAGGAAGAAGGAGGAGAAAAAGAAAAAGATGACAATGATGAAAAATAAGAGAAGGAAGTAGAATGGGAGGAAGAAGAAGAGGAGGTAGAGCAGATAGAGGAGGAGGAGGTAGAGAAAGAGTAGGTAAAGGAAGAAAAGGAGAAAGAAGAGGTGGAAGAGGAGGAAGAGGTACAAGAAGAGGAGATGGATGGGGAAGAGGAGGAGAAAAATGAGGAGGAAGAGGAGGAAGATGAAGGGGAAAGGAGGAGAAGGAGGAAGAAAAGTCACTCATATGACCTTGTGTTTGTCTTCTCCATGAGTGCCTTGGTCATACTAGTCACAGTTATTTAAAACTCCTTGACTGGTAATTCCAAGAAGTCCATCACAGTACCCTATTCTCATCACTGCTTTGTTCTTTGCGAGTGTTTTTCTTCGTCTTGCCTTTCCATTTATCTTGTAATTTTTGCTAAAAGTTGCTGTGTATCACACAGCAGAGATGAGAAGTTTTTTCCATCAGAAAGCAAGGCCACATGTGGCATTCCTTCAACACCCTTTTCCCCAGTGTATTCCGGAGCACACAGACAGGACAGAAAGGCACTGCCAACAAGCTGCCCACACTCCTTCTTCCAGCATGGACATTCCCCAACACGGTTTCTGTTGCTGGAAGCAATCAGTGCATCTCAGAGTACAGCACCTCTGGGATGGGCATGGAAGGGATGGGCAGAGATAGGGTGGTGTGGGATTCTCAGAAACGCCAGAGTGGTTCTCGCTTCCTGGGGCAGGAGAGTGGTTGAACTTGCGGCCCACCGCCCCACACAAGGCTTCACAGCTCCCATGCTCCTGGCGGTGGCATGGGTGCACACTTTCACAGCTTGCTGGCTTTCAGCCACTGCCAGGCGCACGCATGGCCATCTGTCCTGGCCACTCCAGCTGATGGCCAGGCAAGTGAGCCATCCCCAGCTCGGAGCTGCCCAGCGCCCAGGCTCCTGCTCAAAACCACTGAGCTTTAGGGTGGAAAGAGGAATCTGATACTGATTCCTCCCCAGCCCCTGGGGCCTCCAGAAAGCTGGGAGGTGGAGGCCCATCCCTGCCCCACCCTTCCTGTGTCCCCCAAAGGCCAAACATGTGGGAAGCCAGCCCCCAGTTCTTCCCACCATTTCAGTAAGCCACTTGTTTTAAGCAAAGTACAAGAACCAGATCCGGGAGGCTCCTGTTATGAAGACTAATTTCTAATTCTTCCTAAGGGAGCCTTTGAAAAGCACTTCATATCTCCATTTACTGCTGGAGCCTGTGATAGAAAGCCCACTCCTATTGTCCTTTGATTTAGGGCAGGGATGGGCTCTCTCAGGAGAAGAACAGAATGGCAGTCAGTCATGCCAGGGTGGAGCCTACAAACCTGAAGTTCTGAACAGCAACCCATGCTTAAAGCACGTGGCTACAGCAGAAGTATCAGGAGATCAATGGATTCAACCTGTCCCACATGCACCTTTTGACACAACCCATTTGTGTCAGGAATACACACACACACACACACACACACACACACAGAGGAATATACCTGTATACAAATTACATATGACAGGGGAATCAAGTGAAGCAACAGTTAACACAGTTTACAACATATACACCTGTCTATTCCTAACACCAACTAAAAGAAGCTAAGAGCTAACATATCTATTACAATCATCTGGAGAGAAACAAAATTTTAGACAACAGAGATGAAAATTATGTCCAAAATCCCAGATGAGCAGACTTAGTTTAAGAAGTAGCTGTGAGGGGCTGGGAAGGTTGCTCAGTGGTAGAGCACTTGCCTTGCATGCATGAGGCCCTGGGTTCGATTCCTCAGCACCACATAAGCAAAAAATAAAAAAGCCGAAGTGGCACTGTGGCTCAAGTGGTAGAGCGCTAGCCTTGAGCTGAAGAGCTGAGGGACAGCGCCCAGGCCCAGAGTTCAGGCCCCACAACGAAAAAAAAAAAAAAAAACCTGTGGCCAGGCAGTCACTGTACTGGTCATCCTGGATTCAGGCATCAGTGGCTAAGGAAATCACTGAACAAAAGTTAAGTGGAAAGCCAGGCACTGGTCGTTCACGCCTGTAATCCTAGCTACTTGAGAAGCTGGGATCTGACACTGTGATTTGAAGCCAGCCTGGGCAGGAAAGTCTGTGAGACTCTTATCCCTACTAAACTACCAACAAAGCCAGATGTGGCACCATGGCTCAACTGGTAGAGCACTATAGTGCCCAGGCCTTGAGTTCAAGCCCCAGGACACACACACACGCGCGCGCGCGCGCACACACACACACACGCGCACACACACGCACACACACACGCGCGCGCGCGTTGCTATCGGCGTATGCGTATTGACCCAAGGACCTCACAATCGCTGAATGTGTGGAAAAGCAGGCTGTAGAGCAGTTGACAACTGATGGAGGCATGTAGTGAGGGGACAGTCTCTCGCTGCAGTTTATTCCCTGTCTCTGCTATAAGAGCAGTGTGACTCTGGGCGAGTCATTGGACTATCCTGAGCCCCAGCTTCTTCACCTGTTGGATGGAAGAAGATAATCCACAACTACAGGAGATGAATGATTTAAATGGCTCTGCACTGTGCCTGGCGGAGTGCTCAATAAATTATTATTCCACTTTTATAAATATTCATGGTATGCATAAAAATCCTTTGCAAAGACATATACTAAAATGTCAATGCTGATCCTCGGTGGGTGAGATGATACCGTTTTTGGTCTTTGGGCTCTTCTGGGAGAATGTAATGCATAAAGCCACATGTCCTTCCTGCCAGCTGGCTCTAGACAGTCCTGGGTACCTAAAAGGACTAGGAGACATGCTGCAAGCCCAGAACAATTGTAGGGCATTCTGGTTTCACACGTAATTGTCCACAACTTGCTGTGTGACCCAAAGCAAATGCCTTTCCCACTTCCAAGTCTTCATCTGTTCAATGAAGGGGCAGAATGGAAGTTCTCCAAGTAAACTTTTACCAGGTGAAAAGCATTATGGACTTTATTTCCCCTTTTTCTTCATCTACCCTCATCCCCAGAAAATAGATAAGAGCAACCATGAGCTGTTAATTTACTGAAACTCCAGCCACACCAGGAAGTTGTACGTGGCCATTTCTGGAGTCTGCAGACAGCAGAGGGGGGCAGCTGGGCCCCTCTCCAGGAGACCGTCCCACCTCCTCGGGCAGCCTGGCTGACACTCACCTGAGCGGTTATGCAGGTCTCCGCTGTGCCTGCTCACGCCACCTGCTCCACTGGAACCACCAGAGGAGTGTGGAGAGTGGTTGAAGTTTCCGGAACTGGTGGGGGAGGCGGGGTTTCTGGACAGGCTGGGAAACTTGACAGGCCTGGCCATGCCCTGTAAGGACAGGGTGGGACACGTCATGCTTCCTGCACGCACACGGTGCACCAGTGCCCACCCGCCCAGCAGCACCATGCTGGGTAGTTTTCCTCTATCTGGTGCCAATCCTGCTAGCTCAAGCTGGACACCATGTCACTCACTGTTTCCTAGGGGCCACTCCACCTTCTACCAAACACCAGGGCCTTCCAGGAAGAAGGTCTGGCCGTGCCATTCACCGAGAGAGAGGTCCAGGAAGCCCCCAGGACATCCAAGACAATGCTCATCTCCAGGCCTGCTGAGCCTGCCTGTCATGCTGCCCGGCCCGTCTCAAGCCTTCGGCCCCTAGTGCCAGTGCTCCGGTCAGGTCATCTTCAACGGGGTCTGCTTCACATGCTCTGCCCTTGTCTTTGCCTATGCCTTGGTTCCTGCCTGGGCCTTTTCCCACGGGCCATTCCACACCAATGGCCCTCCTCAGTCTACACCATGGCTCCTGGTCCTGTGGTCCCAGGCCCAAGGCTTCCCTGCTCATGTGGTGCAGGCTGGGCTATCTCCCTGCATCCTAGGTGTTCACAGTATAGCCGGACCACAACTTGTGGGTGCACATTAACTGTCAGCTTCCCAGGGACTCAGCTCTCCACTGTGTTCCCAGGACGCAGCCACGGCTTAGGCTCACCAGCAGGCTCAGCAGAGATGCCCAGAGCACACAGGCTGTGGTGGGCTGAATGATGGCCTCCAAAAGAGAACTCAGAACCTAAGAATTAGCCTGGGAGGTGTGAATGGTGCTCCCCAGGCATGGTTCTCCCGGGGTGTGAATACACAAGGCTTTGGGGGAGAGAGCTGGTCCTGGGGGACCTGGATGAGCCCTAAAAACAAGACAGGCAGAGAGCACCTGACAAGAGGATGCTAGGTGGCCCTGAGGACAGGGACCAGAGACCCATGGCCACAGGGCTAGGAAGGTCTAGAGACTGCAGCTGCTGTAACTGGCAACAGCAGATCCCTCCTCTCAATTCCCGCCCCCCCCCCAACACACACCTCACTTTCCGGCTTCTGCCCTCTAGATCTGTGAGAGGAAATTTTGGCCGCTCTCAGACAATAAACCCAGTGTGAGCTGTGGTCATGCTAGGGAAGGGTTCTGGTAACCCGGCTGACATGCCCCCAAGGGAGGGCCACAATGAAGAACACCAGCCACAGCCAGGGCTCACACACGTGTGTTCTGTCTTCTGTCTGGGACACTGCCAGCCTGCAGCTCTGAGGCCTTCCTGACTAGCCTGGCCAGGCATCTTCTTGCACACTGTTTTTGGTCTTGCGTCTTGTGCCCAGTCTAGGATGCACTGATGATACCCTCCCCCGCCCCCTGCCCCCTGGGGCAGCGACAGGCTGGCTGTGCTCCATGGAGTGCACATTGCACTTGATGATGCTGACCTTGGTCCTCAGGGGTCAGTTATGGAAAGATGTCTCAAGATGGTTCAGGCACCTTCCCAACTGACTGGGAAGAGGGGTTAGAACACAAACCAGTGCTGCCTGACTGGATAGCATATCTGGGCACCAGGCTCCTGGCCTTGCACTAGTGATTCAATACTGCCACAGTCCTTTGGCAGCAGGGAGAACGGGGGCGAGCATGTTGTACAGATGCAGTGGGAAGCCAGGAGCTCCTGTCCTGTAACCCCTGGGCACACAGCCATAGGGCCCACCCTAACTCCCGCCTTCACTCTGTCTGTACCACACCCACAATAGGAACAACCAACCCTACACACTTTAGATAAGCTACCACCTCGGGACGGTACAGAAACGGGCCAAGGGGCCAACACCAATGCTAGGCACAATCATATCTTATTCTCTCAAGAAAACAGCAGAGTGCACAAAGTTGTCTCTTGCTGTGTGCTCTTGATCACAGACCTCAGTGATGGTGGCCTGGGGCATGATTAGAAACTGAGAATCTGATTTCTGGTCCCAGGCCCTGGCCGCCTGACTGATGGCTGTCAGAAGGTCATTTCCCCTTGGCTGCATCCCAGTCTCAGCACTGAAGGGAAAGTTAGATTAGATAGATCATGTTTTCAAACATGGTCCCTAGAGTTCGAGGTTCCACAGAGGGGACGTATGCCTCTGACAGCATCATATTCATCTCTTCTGAAACTCACCAGTTTTACGGTAGGCCACAGGATATGGCTTCCTTAAAAGAAAAACAATCTCTAAGCCTGGACTAGGTGGACCTGAGGCTCCCTGCCCACCACACAACCCCACTCCACCCATGTCAGGGCCTGGTTGGACACTTACAGCGTCTGTGCCCCCACTGCCCACAGGGTGGGTCCTGCTGCCGCGCTGGGGCATCGTCTTCGGGGGGTCAGCCTTCCCGTTGTGACACGTTCGGGACCGGTCAGAGCTCCACAGCTCAAAGCTGGATGGGGGCAGGAAAGGGGGGATGACCGCCTTCAGCTTGTCGCTTGGGAGTCTGGGGAAGGGAGCTCCGTTCCGCAACTGGAAAAGAAAAGAGAGCTGGAGGTTAGACAGACCCAGAGTGGGGGCCCAGTCTAGGGGAGAGAACACCAGGCTCGCCCTGCTTCCCAGTGACCGCAGCCACCCATTCCTCCACCTGCCAAATCCCTCCATCTGAGACTGGAGACTGGGGGCATACCCAGCTCTCAACTGTGCCCACCCACGCCCACACTGCCACAAAGGGAGAGAAAGCCAAGGTGGGCCACACATGCGGTCCTGGGGAATCTGGGAGGGTACCCTCTCTGGGGCACCCTCTCCAGGATGTGGAGCTGAGTGGGAGATGCAGGACAAGGGAGCCGAGTGGTGAGGAGACTATAGCGAGTAGGGTAGGGGCTGGGGAGAGGTACAGGAGCCCTGCCCACTGCTTTCCCCACCCCCTGCCAGCTCACCCAGTCACGCTTCACTGCTGGCCGTTCTACCCGCAGGCTTGACTTTTAGAAAATGGGATGGGGGCAGGCGGGATGGTCTAAAATCGTCAAGGATCAGCAGCTCGTCCATGCTCGTGTTAATTAAGAAGACAGGGAACTCTGTACCAGATGGTGCTTTGCAGGGATGGGCATCCCACAGCTAAACCGGCCTCGGGAGCTGGGCAGGTGGTATCTCTGCACCGATGACTGCACACGCCCACACGGTGCCCTGCGGGGCTGGGGGCAGTGAGCGGGAGCACGGGGCCCTCTGCTGGGTACTGGGAATTGAGGACAGGAGAACAGGAGAAGGGAGCTGCAGGGCCTCCTGGTCCCTCACGCCCACTGGGCTGCTTTTCTGAGATGGGTGAGCAAGTGCTGTCCCCGCCCCTGCCCTTGACTTCCTGGCCTTGCAAGAGCAGAGCTGGGCTGCAGGGCAGCAAAACCACCATTGCATCCTTTCTGGAAGCCAATGACCTTCACACCGTTTGCCTGAGAGTTCACTTTCTGTGTATTTCTCTTGAGGAGTAACTGGGGAGGAGCTAGAAGTTATGATGGCATTCCAGAGTTGTTGAAAGAACAAACCCTGACAGGTGAAGCCACTCCAGGCCAATACCCCATCTGTATCCAGTGGCCATAAACATAGCATGGCCAGTGTGGGAACACACAGAAGACAACACAGGGACAACAACAACGATGATGATAAAGTCATTCAACCCCACACGGTTCTCAGGCAGATTAAATGAGTTAATATATGCAGAGTGCCCAGAATAGTGGCTGGCATTTAGTAAGTGCTGTGGTATATGCTATTATTACATATAATATTATACAATATTCATATGTGCTTAAAATGCTCAGGCAAAATACTCAGAAGATATATACCTCAAAATACCCACCATGACTCTGAGTATGTGGTTGAGGGTGATTTTATTTTCCTTCCAGATACTTCTGTCGTGTTGCCCCAAATTCCTAGACATGTGTGTTTTATAAACTGAAGGTTGTTACTGCTGTTTGAGAATGTAAGACGTGTCAGGCCGCGCAGGTTCCCACCACGGGGGCAGGGTAGGGCTCACAGTTCACCCCTGCTGGCCTGGTAGATCCTGCTAGGGAGCTCCCTGGGTTCTGAGTTTCTGGATGCCTCTTGGCTTGTAGGTGCGCGCTTGGACTGGCTCTCCTGTCCTTGCCAATACTGCCCTCTGCTGGCCTCCATGAGTGTCCAGGCTCTAAAGGAACTTCAACCGTGAGGCTCTTGGTGCCTCTGGTGAGTTAACATGGCTGAGCACTACACGAAGAACCACCTGGGGTTGACCTCACTTCACAGCCCAAACCAGGGGTTTTCTTGCCCTAGACAGGACCCACTTTCCGTCTACTGGAAGTGTATTCTTTTCGTGGCAAATTTTTCCCATCACTACACTTCACATCGTCTCAGTTCTCTCCCTTGGTGGAGCTGTGACTTAGACATAATACATCTGTTTCAGCAGGAAGTCGGAGCAGTGCTCTCTGCCTATCTGGGTGGGATGGGGCAGGCTCTGCTTGGCAAGTACCTTTCTACTGCTTGGACTCTGACTGCTATCTTTTCCTCATCCACTGTTATCCACGGGATGCTCTGCTGGGCATGACTTGTTTTGAGGCGTCTTTCCAGGTTGTTGACCCTGCCTTCCTGTGAGGTTACCAAGGGCCAGGTGCTTCTTCTCCCTACCAGATGCTCTCTGGGATCTCTGGCCTCTGTTTTCTCTATCAGATGTCATCTGGATTGACTGTTGGATTGGCCCCTGTATTCCACAGGGTTGGACTCTTGTCCCTTATTAGATGGGTCAAATGTTATCCAGCCTCTAGAATCCCCCTTATATCAAATACAGGGACTTAAGAGGCCCTTAGCTACCTTCTAGTGTCTAATCTAACCTAGAACTCAAAACTTCAGGCATTTATTTTCCCTTTTAAGGATTGATCTCTTCCCCACTCCTTCCTTCCCTCCCTTCCTCCTTTCTATTGTTCCTCTACTGGAGAAGAACGGGTTACTCCACTTAGATACCCCCTATATCCCACCCCACGTACACACACCGCAGAGAAAATTTATTTCAAATATGGTCTCTCATTAAGGCAGTTTCTTTGGTTTCCTTCCTTGTCTTTTCATGCACTACCTTTATAGTATTTAGGATTTAATTAGATAAAATTCCCTAATGTCATAGGAAACACATAGAGACATATGACAGATCACTGGGAAACACAAACACTGGGAGAAATAGAGGCAGGAGGATGTCAGGGGGGAATTTAGAGAAGCATGCACTACAGTAACTTTCCAGGCACTAGAAAGACACTTTAAAAAGTAGGTCCCAAAGGTTTACCTAGCTTGTGGATGGTAGATAGGAGCCTCTCTCATCTACGCTCAAGGTTCCAGATTGTCACACAGAAGGGGGACACTGTGCCCAGACAATGACAGTAACTGTCTTCCCGACAAGGAATATGTCAGCTCTTGCTGCAGGGTCACTCTGGATGCGTTCTTTGTATTGTGTCATGGTCAGCTTACAAACTGCCAGATCAAGAAGTCTAGCCTCAAGATGGTACTTTCACTGGGTCTTTTCTGCTGAATTCCTCTAAATGGTCTGAGGTCCCTATGTCCAGCCTTTCATGTTTCTCTCTCAGGAACTGGACATATGGAAGGGAGGCCAGACATGTCTGGCCTGTTCAGGATATTCTAGATGTGCCTTAGTTCACTTCTGTTTTACCTTGCCAGCCTCCATGGTACCCTGGTGTTTCTTCCTCTTCCTTCTAGCACAGTCTGTGTGGTTTCTCCCATCCACCTTACAAGACTAGTTTGTCACTAGTCAAAAAGTGGGTCATGATCTGTTTCCATGGAGACTTTCTAGCAGGGCTGGGGAATGTTAGACCCATGGGCTGAGTACCTGTGAAATCATTTGGTACATGATGAAACAGACTTGTGCTTTTTGTTGGCTCCCTGTGGCCCGGCTACTTGCGCTGATAATTTTGTATAGTATATTAATGATGATCCAAATGGCCCTTGGTTAAAAAAAAAGTTTCCCATTTTAGCTGGGCACTGGTGGCTCACACCTGTAATCATACCTACTCAGGAGGCTGAAATGGGCGGATCATGGTTCAAGGCCAGCCTAGGTAGGAAAGTCCCTGAGATTCTTATCTCTATCAAAAAACTATGATCGGAGCTCAGGAAATTTTTTTGGGGGGGTCCGGTCGTGGGGCCTGAACTCTGGGCCTAGGCACTGTCCCTCATCTCTTCAGCTCAAGGCTAGGCACTCTATCACTTGAGACACAGCGCCACTTCCGGCTTTTTTCTTTTTGCTTATGTGGGGCTGAGGAATCGAACCCAGGCCTCATGCATGCAAGGCAAGCGCTCTACCACTGAGCCACCTTCCCAGCCCAGAACACAAAAGCTCAGAAAGAGCACCCAGCCCCTAAGTTCAAGGCCCTGACTGGAGTGTGGACATACACATTCCCAATCAATCGTGTGTTGACCCTTCTTATATGCTTCCTGAAGGGTTACACTTGTCTCTTTGTTTCCTTTCCTCTGGAATCCTACCATCCTGTGCTGACTCTGCTCTAATTCTCTGGACAGACTCTGCCACCCTGCCCTCTGCCCTGAGGAAGTCACTCTCAGAGAGAGTGGTTATAAGGCCTACCTGAGAGTACTCGGGATTAGTATGCTTGGCATAGGTATTGTTTCATGTCATTATGGCCAACTTTCATTTTTGAGCCCAATTTTTATGCACATTAAAGTCTTGGCATACCTAAAGCTAAAACTTTTTGTGCATGTATGTATATGACCTTCTTTAGGATGACTCTTTAACTGCTATTTTAAAGTTAGTATATAAAGGGTGTCACTCTTGAAAAAAATGGTTGCCATATCTCAATCAGGTCTAAATGTGGACATCTAGGAATTAAAAAGGGACCTTAAAATTTGGTTGCTTGACATTATAATTTGAATTTTCTTTTACAGATATGAGTCTACTAACAAATATGTGTTTGTAATCTGTTATTACATAGGAAACCAGCTTTAGGTTGCCTTTCTCACTGGGTCTTCAGTGAAATTTTATTTTAGGGAGAGAAGAAAAAAGTGTTGTCCAAGTCCAAAAGTTTGGAAAGGACAGACAGAAAGGAATCAGCAAATAGGATTTAGGAGGGTATGAAATGTGTATTTGGAAAAGAAAGTTAAAAGGAAGAAGAAATGCTTTGGGGTGAAAAAAGATTTTACATGGGAAGCTTTGTTTTAAAGTACTGTTCCAAAATGGAAACGTGGGGGAAGATTAACAATAACAAAAACAAGAGGGTTCAAGAACATAGCAAAATGCAAGAGTAGGTCTTAATGCATATTAAAGATGGAATTTTTTAAGTTTAGGTGCAGGTCATTACATTGTTTACAACTTAAAAGATTATCAGAAGGTTTTTTTTGGGGGGGGGGCTTGAACACAGGGCTTCAAGCTCTCACTCTATTTTCACTCATGGCTGGCACTCTACCACTTGAGCCATGCCTCTAAGTCTGGCATTTTGATAGTTAACTGGAGTGTCATCAACTTTTTCTGCCAAGGCTAGCTGTGAACCATGATCCTCATGTCTTGGACTCCTGAAAGGTTAAGATTGTAGGCATGAGCCACTACCACCCAGCTTTGAAGGGTTTTCTGAAGTCAAAATTAAAACTAGCACCCATTCTCCATGACAATGAACTGTCTTAAGAATATTATTCCGCTCACTTTTGACTTCTTAGAAAACTGAGTAATAGCTGAGTCAAAGTTGACATATATATATATGTGTATGTATATATATATATATATATATATATATATGATGCAAAGCTTAGAAAAACACTTTACTAAGTTAATGCCTTCTCAATTAAATTGTTAATGATGCTACTAGCCAATGCAGGCTTACATCCATGAATTCCTTATAAAAAGGAAAGCTTAATGGTCCTAACAATGTTGTCAATCTTCGTAATTATCCAAAAATACTATATGCAATGGAAATAACTAGACTGCTTCCAAAATTTTAAACATTCTAAGTCTTTTGTCATTAAAGATTTGATCCTCTTCTGGACTATATGCAGTCAGGCCCAGAGGATAGCTCTTAGGAGTACTTACTTGTCAGACTGAGTTAGCTTTTTAAATTTAATGGATTCCAAGTTAGCATTGCCTAGAAGCTACTTCTTCTAAACATCTTTGTTGTTTAAATTTGGCCCCAAGTGGTCTTCTTGGCCAAGCTTCCCACCTGGCATGTCTGTCACTCCTCTAAAATGGGATCAGATGAAGAGGGACCTCTCATCCTGGCAATGAAGAAGGACTCTGCACAAAGCTTATCCTGGAGATGAGGAACCATGCAAAGACAGCTTGGAGAAAGCTGTTCAGACAAGAAGGGATTTTGTCAGAATCCAAATGGAGAAGAAATTGTTCATCAACAAAGGTTACTTGATACGCATGCTGTCTATCTTCCAACTATACAGAGACTTGTACCCTTTTCCCTGCTATACCCACTATTTCTATAGCTCCAAGAGAAATTCAGATGTTTCTCCTCCCATTAAACCTTCTACTTGTTAAATGTTTTAGCCAAGTTTGTTTCTTCTTGTTTCCAGGCTAGAAAATTATAAATAATACAGTGTAAATGCTAACCCTACTAAACTTTAAGGTGAAGATGGAAAGACAGGCAATACTTCAAAACAGGATTAGTCCTTAATGTCCTAACCACAGTGCCAGGTGACTTGTGTGTCACTTCCAGACAAAATTCTGTTTATGTTCCAAGCAGTTCAGCCAAGATAGCTCAGCCTAAAACTTGGGGAAATCTCCTTTCTTCTTGGTCCTCTAGGTTCATGTAGTGGAAGGAAACCATGTTTGTTTGTTTTTTTGTTTTTGTTTCTGGTCATGGGGGCTGAACTCTGGGCCTGGGCACTGTTCCTCAGCTCTTCAGCTCAAGGCTAGCGCCCTACCACTTGAGCCACAGCACCACTTCCAGCTTTTTTCAGCTTATGTGGTGCTGATGAATTGATCCCAGTGTCTCATGCATGCAAGGCAAGCACTCTACCACTGAGCCACCTTCCCAGCCCAAGAAAACCATGTTTTACTCTTGCTCCTGGTTCTGATCATCTGTAAGACTCTTGCTCTGCTGCTGTGTTCACCACTGTATCTCATGGGTCCCAGCCTATGGCTGTGTTTCTGTGGCATGGCTCCCCTTAAACACACTGGCTCATCTATTGTCTGGTCTCCCCTGTGCCCATCAACAGAGAAAGGACCAGAGACTCATCGTCTAGGCTGTGCCCCACACCAGTATGAAGTAGAGGAAGGCTTACTTCAACTTCCTATTTCCTGAAACTTTTCAGGTTCTCAAGGCCTTGAAGAAGGACTGGGAGCCACGAACGATGGGAAAATGCAAAGGACACTTAAAATGGAGGGTGAAAATCACAAAGATCCTGAGAGAAAATATTGTAATTAAACTTCCCAACTTAGAGGTGACTAGCCCATCAAGGTCATGAAAGATGATGGTCAGCTTTTAGTATAACACAGGCCACCATACATGGGGCACAACAAGTAGAAAGAATCTAGGTCTCTAGCTCGTCTTGAACTTTATTTACCTGAGGGAAATAAGCTGCTGTGTTCTGCCACTGTTCATTGGGACCTGTAGTCAGTCTCTTCTAGCTGAGCCTATTCTTGACACTGAGAACTCCCCCAGGTTAGACACACGCCCTCCCCTGTGCCTCCTCTTTCTCTGCTTCTCCACAACTAATGTGATGAGTCTCTGTGTCCAAGCCCGCCGTTGATTCCCACCTCTTCAGGTCCCAACTGAGAACATGACCAGGACTTGCATCTGGCCCCCAAGCACTCATACAGCCTTGCCCACAGTTCATGGCTGGCATCTGTTCTAACTCCTCAGTGCAAGCCAATGTTACCCCTATAATCATCCACCCCGCCTCTGAGCGGCCAGGTGAGGCAAACACACACATCCCTCTGCCGATGTCAATCAGCTGATATCTGATGGGGGCCTCAAATGCTTTCAGAAGCCCCACACTCACCATGGTTGTCAATAACGCATCTTCCTTCTCTCCTCTTGGGTTCCCAGGACCTGAGGGACAAATGGAAGCTTCCTGAAAGGCCCCTCCCCTGTGGCCTCAGCCTGAGGATGAGCGGCTGGCTGGGCAACCTTCATCCTGGAAAGCCAATTCTCGGGGGGTGATTAAATATTTCATGGCAATTGGTATTCGATACTCTAATAGATGGAAGGCATTTAGAAAGAATCTTGGAGCATGTTTTGAGCTTTTCCACCAACCACAGCTGTGCTGGGTCAGACAGTGGCGCGCCGCTCAATAGTCTGTCTCAGACAATTGCTGTGTTGGAGAGGTCCTAGCTATTCCACTTTCCTTTGGTGTGCAAGTCTCCTCAGTGACCTGGCAGAGTCGGCCCATGGGCCGAATCCTCCCATTGCTGGGGAGTTTACTACCTATCCCCAGGGAACCCATTCCACTTCAAGATAGGACTGCCCGGCCTGGTGTCCACCAGGGGACACAGGTGTGGAGCAGACAGACTCTAGGAAGATGCCACCCCCACGTGCCACCACTTCTCACCACTATCTTTGGCCACAGAGGCTGCATCGGGGGGCCATGGGCGGCCAGTCCTGTCCTGGGAGGCAGCCCTCATTGTGGAGTCCAGTGCTGGCTCAGGCTCATCAGAGAAGGGCAGAGGCTGGTTGCTGGAGAGCCCGCGGGGCAGTGTCTGCATCAGTTTGAGCTTACGGAACCTATTGGACATTCGGTTCCACCAGGACTGGTGAGAGAAGGCAGAGCAGAGGTCAGTTCCCTGAAGAGCAGGAGCAAGGAGGTACCCCAGGGACAGGGACTCCCGTCCTGAGCTCCTGGCAGGCATCACCAATCAACCACAGCACACTCCCTGACAGTCAGCGCTGCCCACGGAATCGTTCGTGATCCTTTCCAACAGATCCAGGTGTCAGTGACCTCTGTCCGCTGTCCCTCATTCTTTCACTCTCCTCACTGAGCAATGAAAAGCACAGAGCCAGGTAGGGAAGCTGACCTGCTCGATGTCTTCCAATGGGACAGGGACAGGCAGGTGGACAGAAAGGCAATACAAACACCCTAACATCAATCCCTGCATTGCTTCCCTCCTGTTAGCCCAGGGAGGGACCAAGAGGAGTCAGGTGATTGCATGGGGTAGCCTGGGCCATCTGTTGTGGTAGCTGATCCTTCATCCAGGCACGCCCTGGAGCCTGTTGTCCAGGGAAGCACAGAGCAACCGCACAGCCTCTGGGCAAGAAGGGATGAAGGGCTCCCCATCCCTTCTGTGCAGAAGAACCAGCAGCTGGAGTGAGCAGCGGACAGTAGCGGCATGAGGGAGGGTCAGGAGTGTATGGTGAGCACAAGGCCTTCAGGAATACAATAAGTCTGGCTGTAAGCACGCAAGCAGGATGCGGAGTAGATAAGAAGACCAAATAGAAATGCTCACTTGCAGTAGAAAATCTACAACTAGAACTTATTTCTGGTGTTCCTGGGAAGCAGCCAAGTGGCCTCTGGGCCATGGAGAGACCCCAGATGACCCAATCAGCAAATAGCCAACAGCCAAAACAGCTCCTGGAAAGAGGCCTGGAAGGTTTAGTCAGCTAAGGACTATGTCACACCAAGATTTAAAAAGATTCGCTCTGTTTGGCATGATGAGCCGTTTTCTCTGCTCCCCACCATATTCTATTGCTCCCAGCCCAGTGGGGCCTCCCCGCTAACCTAGCCTGAGGTAACAGGAAGCATCCAGGCCCTCACCTCCACCCCGGCCGGGCCCTCTGAGACCTTTTCAAAAGGGGAGAAGCAAACCTTCAGCCCGCCCTTGTCATCGGGCAGCACAGGGATGCTCCAGGGCTGTCTGACCTTCGAGTGGGGCAGGAGCGGTGGCTGGGTGGGCCGGCCTTTGTCCTTAGTCACCTGCATGCAGACAGATGCCAGCAGTCGAACAAGTTCCGTGTCTATGGACACAAAAGGCAGTGTTTTACCCGCAAATATGTGTCGGCTTCAGGTTGACCCTTGTCAGGTTTAGAACTCAGCTCTAAGAAGAGGGCCTGTCACAGCAGGGGAAGACGCAAAGGGGAGAAGCACCAGCCAAGGACTAATGAGAGGTCAATAATGTTGGCATCCCTGCCGCAGGACCCTTGACCTGCAGCTTTCCCTACCGTGAGCCAGGGCCATGGCTCCACCTAGGCTAGGGCCCTAAAGTTCCTCCAGAGTTGGCATTTCTGGCTGTGAGGCACAGATGCTGTTCCAGGACCAAAGGGACCTGCCCTCCCTCCTGGATGCTCCTGGAAGGCGGGTGAGGGAAGGTTTGGGCTGGCCTGGCCAGATCCCTGCGCTGCAGGGGAGAGGGAAGTGCCTGGCTCCACATCATGACGCTTGAGACTTCCTGGGAACAAGCAGGGCTTCAGACAGGGCTCGCAGGGGAGGTGCTGCCCTGGCTCGAGCTGAGAAGGGCAGTGCAGATTTACGAGAACCCACCCGGGTCATTCAGCAGCATCACCAGGTCAAAGGCCGTGTACCCATTTTTGGCACGAAGAGTAACATCAGCCCCTTGGTTCAGCAGGTATTTCACGATTTCCTTGTTTCTGAGGAGGGAAGATGCAGCCAGTATTACACTACAGGACACTCTCCCTGCCTTCCTCCTGGCTCAAGATGGGGGCACTTGCTCACTTTTTGCTAGTGCCATCCACAGCCCTCATCAGTGGCCTAAAGCTTTGGAGTTGCTGATCTTGGACTGGAACCCCCAGAATCATGAGCCAAAAGAAACCTTTTATTTTGGAAGGCAGTTGCCTCCAGCATTTTGTTATAGTAACATGAAACTGACTAGCCCACCCACCTGGGCCACAAGGCTGACTACATTAACTTAAGGCATTTCAGTCTCTAGACACGAAAGCAGGGTGTGAACAGTTAGCCTCATACCCCATCATTTCCCACCACTCAACAGGTCAGACACAAATGTGCTTTAAATAAGTCTTAAAGCTCCTATCTCCACTAAAATGAAAACTAAGAGCTCTTCCCCCAAACCCTCAGCCCCTGCCCCATGCTGACCCCATCCCGCCACTGTGACCACCTTGTGAAGCCAAGGTTTTCCAGGGAGGACTGAGACTCATCAGCTAAGATAAGTCACTGGTGCCAATGATGCAGGAACGTGACATGACCACCTAAAACCCTCAGGGGGAGAGACTCGCGTTCAAGTCAGGCCATTTAGAAGTTACAAAATGTCCCCCGCCCAAAGGAGCGTCCTCTTGGAAGGTAAGGGCCCTCCAGGCTGGGGCAATCAGGTGAGGAGAGCCTCATCAGCGCCCAGCACACACCTGAAAGCCAGGTGACTCTCACTGCCTAACGTCAGCAGAAGCCCAGACAGAACTGACCCCAGAGGGGTCACTTAAGGTCACTGTATCACCTCCAAATGAACCAACTACGTGATCATCTGAACCTGAACTAGATGACCTTAAGTTTCTTTCAAAATACTCCTACTGTGAAGTTTCACAGGACCACTGAGAAACTCTATGCTGGGCTAGTGGGAAATGTAGCTATGGAAAGTCAGATGCAGACTGGAATGAGCCCGGACTGCAGCCATCTTTTCTGTGGGCCTCAGTGTCTTCACAGCCCTGGGGTTATGGGTAGCATCCTGGCACCAGAGCCCCATCTTAAGCAGAGCACCTGCTCCACCCTGTCCTGGAGGGGGTGGAGGGAGGCTGACCCATGGTAGGTGGCCTGCATGAGGGCTGTCCAGCCATGCACACTGTCCTGCTTGTCGATGTCAGCATGCCTCTCCACTAGCAGCTGTACCAGGAGCAGCTGTCCCGTGACAGCTGCCAGCATCAGTGGCGTGGCCCCATCCCCGTTGACCAGGTTCACATGGTTGGGGTCTTCATCAGCGATCTCCTTGACCAGCTGGAAGTTTCCTGCAAACATGGCAAGAGTCTGGTGACCCAGGGCTGGTACCACTGGCTCCTTTACCCAGCTGGTTCCCACAGTAAGCACTGGCTGACTCCATCTGCAGTGGCCTGCTGGACATCATGGGGGCCACTGAGGAGGGTTAGCCACTGGAGTCCCTGCCCTCACAAGGAACAGAGATAAGGACACAAATGGACAGAGATGCTGTGTCTCATGAAAGAGGAAAAAATGGGGGAGAATGGTGGGAGGGGAGATATTGATCAAGATGCATTGTACTCACAAATTGATATGCTGAATTTAAAGCTCTTTGTATAATTACTTAAAGATATTGAAAAAGAAAGAGGAATCTGGGTGCTGATGACTCATAAGTCTGAGATCTGAGGATGATGGTTCGAAGCCAGCCCAGGCAGGAAAGTCCAGGATACTCTTATCTCCAATCAACCACACACACAAACAAAAAAGAAAAAGAAAGAAAAGTTAGAAGTAAAACTGTGGCTCAAGTGGTGGCATGCTAGCCTTGAGCACAAAAGTTCATGGATAGCATCTAGGCCTTGAGTTCAAGTCCCAGGACAGGCACCAAAAAAAGAAAAAGAAAGAGGAAGGAGAGTGATGAAGGGCAATGTCAGGTGTTGTTGGAGGGTAGAAGTCAGGGAGGGGCTTCCTGGAGGCAAGATCTGAATCCAAGAGTAGAAACCCTCAGCCTTGTGTCATAGAAACTGGAGTGAGCAGGTGAGCAGAGAGGCAGGGCGAAGCCAGGGCTAGCCAGGACATCTGGCTTCCAGAGTAGCCTAATAAAGTCAGGTCTCCAGTACCTGAACTTCCCTGGCAAAGCTGGAAAGTTAGGAAACCCACAAATTTCCCATGCTTCTCTCAAATGCTCTGGGTGGTCCTGGAAAGGACCAGAGATACTGGGCTGGGAGAATGCGGCCCTGTGTTCTTAAACACACCCAGAGGACTTTCCAAAATGCTTACCCATCTTCAGTGCGTGGAAAATGTCAGGGCGCCGTTTCTCCTCATCTGGGTAAACAGAGATTTTTAAAAGTTAAGTGTTGAAAGATCTGAGGTAGCAGGAAAATCACAAGGTGCAACCACACAGCCAAGCTTTAGAGCAGAACTACTTCTAGGAAGCTGTCCAGCTGGAGACCCACACAGCAGACGTCTCTCACAGCCTTCTGGAACCTACTTCTAAAACATCAAGGGACAGACCACTGCCCCATTGCATCCTAATGAGCAGTCATTTCTAGACATTGCAAACTCCTATCTTTTCTTAGATACACTGAAAAGTACCATTTTGGAAAACCCTGGGTTTCTGTAAGAATTGGAGGAAAAAAACAATGACTTCTTTTCCTTTCAAAACTTGAAGGTATAACCATGAGACAATGCCAAAGCAGAAAATGCTGAGACACCAAGTGCCTGGGCTCAACAGGAGGTCACAGTCACTAGAGAGGCCAATCTCAACCCTCGTCTTCCTTCCCAAATACCAAGTAATCTGAACGGGACCCCTGCCCATGCCTGCAGATACAGCTGCTCAGCAGTGAGTACCCGCCTGGGTATCTTCATGCTGGCCTTTGCTTCCCTGTTGGTGCCTGGACCCCCACCTCCTTTTCTCCAACCAATGGGAGCCCCTCGCTCATGCCATGCCTCCCCTCCCCCACCCCGGGCCAGTGGGTGATCTGCTCCTGCCATAAGGCAGCTCTCCTTAGCCCACATGCTAAGGACTGTATGCAGGATGCCTGCAGCCATCCAGCATCCTGAGGACAGAACAGCTCTGAGGGCCTCCTATGGCTGGCTGGGCAGATCAACCTGGAGGAAGTTGTACCCCTGTGAGGAGCAGCGAGTCTGCAATCTGCCTGAGATTGTGTGCCTCCTCCTCAAGCCACCGGGTCCCTTGTCACCAACACGGGGTGGACCTCCAAGTCAGCAGGTTATTTCAGGGATCAGGTGGCAAAAGCATGAAGCCCTGTGGAAAGAAAGCTGCTCTTTTCCAGTCACCAGCCAGAACCCCTACTTAACTCCCAGATTCTCAGTGCCAAGCACACCTGCGGAACCACATGCCGGAACTGCCTGGGATGCTACCAAGAGACAGAGCTGCAAAAAGGGTGCACAAATGCAGCACTGGCACTCACTGAACTCTATGTTGAAAATGAGAATGGGAAAAACTGGGAGACAGTAAGGACAGAGTGACATCATCCAAAAAGAAGTATACTCACTACCTGACTTATGTAACTATAACCTCTTCGTACATCACCTCTATAATAACAATAAAAAAATTAAATAAAGAAGTGGTGTTGGGGCTGGAAAGGTGGCTCAGTGGTAGAGCGCTTGCCTTGCATGCCTGAGGCCCTGGGTTCAATTCCTCAGCACCACATAAGAGAAAAAAGCCGGAAGTGGAGCTATGGCTCAAGTGGTAGAGCGCTAGCCTTGAGCTGAAGAGCTGAGGGTCAGCACCCAGGCCCAGAGTTCAGCCCCCACAACCAGACCCCAAAAAAAATTTTAAAAAAAAGAAGTGGTCTTGCATCTTAGCCTCAAAAATGTGTCATGCATCTTTAAGTATTGAGGAGGATTCTTTGAGATGATGAGTGTGTCACTGGCCTCAGTGCTGGCCAATCAAGGGCTAAATGGTAGGAACTAATCACTGTCAGTCCAGCCCACGCTGAAGTCTATGGCAGCTGACCTTGATGTGCTGTGACGTGGGCTGGTCCCTTCTTTACTCTAGGCTTCAGTGCTCCGGGGACACCTGCTCCAACCCCCACAAAACTGTGATGAGAGGATGTCATAGCAGCAATGGTCTTGAGGGTGCCTAGCCCACTGCACATGGGGGGGAGAGGTCCCGGTGGGGCTGGATTTCCTGGCCTCTCAAGAGGTTTTTGAAAAGCAATGGGGCCCTGTGGCAGATTTGCTGAGGGTTACTTAAAAGACCCTGCAAATGCCAGCAGTCAGCAAAAAGAAAGAAGACACATGATTCAGTGCTTGCAAAACCAAAAACATTCAGAGCTGGGTGTAGCTCAGTTGTGGCCTAGCACACGTGAAGCCCTGGTTCAATCTTCTCCACTGTACTGCACTGCATCACACAAAACAGCACACGTCAAATCTCTAAAACTCAAAAGGGGCTGAATTTTTCCTCATGTCATGTGCATTCATCCTTGGAGACTGATCACTAGCAGATGAATTAATTGGTCTTTGGGCCAAGCCAAGGTACGACTACCTACCTGTCTCTGTACTAATTTATTGGCACTGGGCCACATCCATCATTTATGTATCAAAATGGCCACTTTTACTTTAATAGAACTGAATATTCCAACACAGATAGTAGGGGCCACAAGGCCTAAAATATTTATGATCTGGTTCTCTATAGAAGAAGTTTCTGATTTCTGTTCTAGAAGAATTCCAAGACCATCTACACTGGAGTTTTTTCAGCCCAGGAGCTGCTAAGGATCTGCAGGGCAGCAGGCACCTGTAACCATCAGGCAGGCATTTCCATGAGCCTTGTGAGCACGCCCACAGCCCAAGGCCTGCTGACCTGCTGCTGGGAGGGACACTCACTTCTGTGTGCCCTTCTGGTTGGGCAATCCTCAGCCTGTGTCTCTTAAACACAACCTGGGGTCATCTTTAAAGTCATGGTGAGACAGTGCTGGTATGGCCTGACCTGTTTTGGGCCTGACGGTGGTCACAGGGTCAAGGAAGTCTGCAAGGTCCCTGTGCTTGCAGTCAAGGGCGATCTCGAAGGCAGTCTTCTCCAGGACGCTCAGGTGGTCAGGGTTCGCCCCCTTCTCAACCAGCTGTTGGGCCATGCCGAGCCTCCCGCTGAGGGCTGCCAACATCAGTGGGCTCCAGCCCACAGTCCGGGCTGTGTGATTGGGGTCCGCGCCCCATTCCATGAGCAGACGGGCCACAGCCTCATGCCCATGCTGGGTGGCGGCCATCAGGGCTGTGATGTCCAGCAGCTCGTCCCTGCTGCCACCCATCCCTGGCTGCTCGCCTGAGGGACTGTGGTGGTCCACAATGGCACCAGCCTCAAGCAACAGCTTCACCACACCCAGGTGGCCCCCGCGAGCGGCCACTGTGAGCACACTGGCCCCCAGCCGGTTCTGCGCGTTGACATCTGCTCCGTGGTCCAAAAGGAGGTGTGCCACATTTGTATGGCCACATCTGCTGGGAAGATGGAGAATTAGTTAATGCCGAACATGGAGGGAACACGGACCAGCCAACAGTTCACAGCATCCTCACTTCTCATCAACTTTTAAAGGCACCATAGTTGATTAGAGTAAGAGGCCTTGGTCTGGGGTCAGGCACCATACTGGCCTTGTAGATACAGCATTACTGAATGGCAACTTCTCTGTCTGGGTTGAAATCCAGCTCTTCTGTTCACTAGCTCTGTGATCCTGACAAAGAATTCTGCTTTCCTAGGATTTTAACTTCCTAGTCTGTAAAATGGGGCTGTAACTGGGTCTACAACAGAGTTGCTAAGCCTTAAATGAGTCTCTGTATAAAGCAGCTGGACAGTGCTGACCAAAGGAAGCAGCAAGCCAGCACCTGCTGGACAACTGTTGTGCATTTTCTATTCTAAACCTCGGTGAGGACAACATCAGACTGGGTTCTGATCTTTTGCTCTTACACTGTGCTGCCCTCACAACTAGAGTCCATTTTATTTGTTATCATTATTTATTTAGCGCTGATACTGGGATTTGAACTCAGGGCCTGGGTGTAGTGCTCTACCACTTGAACCATACTCCTACTTCTGGCTTTTTACTGGTTAATTGGAGATAAGTGTCTCAATGGGCACCAGGACTGGCTAGTTTTGAACTGTGATCCTCATCTCGGCCTCCCAAGTAGCAAGGATAATTTTATTCTGCTTTACAGCTTAATAACCTGATTCTCTGTGTATGCTCTGATTTGCCCACAGACAGGGCCAAGTCTGATTCATTTCTGCCTTCCCCAGCCCCCAACACACCCCACCACATGCCAAGAGGTGTGGCAGCTGGGCTGGCAAAGGCCCTGAGGCACCTCTGTGGAGGCCTGCTGCCACCTGCTGGCAGGAATGTTCACAATAGGTGGCTGAGAACTTGGTCTGAATTAGGCCTTCCACAATAAGGCTCTACTAGGCCCAGATGGGGCCTTGGAGAGATAAACTGGAAGTTTACATCACAAGTTACATGCTGAGGGGTTCCACTGGGCTCAGCAGCGTGTGTCAGAGCTGGCAATGGCCCTGGACTGACCAGGTGGGAACAAGAGGCGGCCACACTGCTGGGTGTAGGAGACCTCAAGATGTGGTCATAACTGTGTGTCTCTGAGCTTCCTGATGCTCACCCCTCCTTCCCCAAAGGGCTCTCCCTCCCGGTGTAAGCAGGGCCAGGGCTGAACTTTGTTCTGCAGCAGCTGAACTTACAAATACCTTTGAGGATGTGAACCTTAACACTGAGTCACTGCCCTCTGTGAGGGAGCAGGTGAGAGCCTGGTGAACCGGCTTCTCCAGGAGGAGGTGGCGGCAAAGGCGGGGGGGGGGGGGGGGGGGGGAGTAGCTGAGCATCTTCCAGCTGAAGTCTAGTCCTATGCAGAAGGCAGCCAGGTCAGTATGTCTCCCTGCCCCCCCCACTCCTATTCCCTGCTGCCCATCGTCCATGCAGCTTCCAAACCTAAACCTGACTGCCACTCTCAGTTGCCCGCTGTCCAAAGAGATGGCCTGCTTTGCTGGTCTCATTGCCTCTAGCACCCACATGTCCCACTCTTCTGTTGTTCATCCTATCAGAAAGCGCCCCACTCCCACCCCCTGCCCCAGGCATAACACCCCCATGCCTCTGTGCACTGCCCAGGGCTCATCTCTGCACAGCTCCCACACCAACCCCCAGCAGGCCAGTGGGTGCCCCTCTTCTAAGAGCCCACATTTTCATCTGTGCTTGAGTCCTCTTTCTGGAATTGTGTCTCCCCCTACTTGATGGGTGGCTCTCCAAAGACAGGACTGGGGCGCTCACATTCTTCTTTCCTAGCCCCAGACAGCCACACTGGAGCTCAAGACATTTTATCCAATAAATGAAGTTGAAGGCGACCATGAAGGAGCAGAGGAGTGCATACATGAAGGGGTAGATGAAGGCAGTGGACGTAGGTGAAAATTGCTGTCAACCTTTGATGCAGAGATTTTACAAAGATCATACAATATTATGAAGCATGAATTAAAATTTTTTTAAAAAGCTAACCTAATCCTCAACAGCAGATTACTAGATGCTTTTAGATTTGTCTCATCTGATTTTTTCGGAAGCCCCTAAGTTCAGAAAGCGCCCATGTCACAGATAAAGAATTAAACAGGAGAGCAGAAAGCACTAAATCTCAATTTGACAGTGAAGTCAAAACTCCAAACCTCAGCCCCTCCAGTCTCTCTAGTTTTAGCAAAGAAGGTCAGAATTTCAGCAGAAATCCTTAAATCTGGAATGTTTTTTGAATTCTCAGATTAGCCCCAGAGATCATTCAATTAGGCTGAAAATATTAAAAAGAATTCAACAGAGGCTGAGATCATTTTCCGGATGCTAAGTTTCTAATAGGTAATTACAGGAGATAGGGTTGCTAGGGGCTTTCTGAGCAGGTGCTATGTTGCCAATTAATTTCAGCAATTAACACCTGTTTTGAAGAGCTGGCACAAGCTTCCACCACCTAGTGCTGAGATGAGCTTCCAGCTCTGCCACCTGGGCAGGCAGCTGAAGGAAGGAGAAAAGGCCAAAAGTCAGAGCAAGCACCATGCCCCACAGTCACCTAGCTGCAAGTCACTGGCCAACGTGACAATTCACTGCTGCCGGATCCATGCATGGCTGGGAACATGCACTCTGGACCTGACTCTGCCATTTACTGGCTATGTGGCCATGGGCTAAGACATTATTTCGGGAACAGGAAAAACCATCGATGGAACCATCTGACACTAAAACCTCTACCAGGCCTCAAGATCTAGGCACAGGGCCTCTCCTGGCCATGTCTGACCCCGAGATGTGCTTAGAATACAGACAGCAGGATGACGAGCAGAGGCTGGCATGGGCAGAAGTGGTGGCTGCCCATGTCACTTGTGTGGGATTCTGAGGCCCAGGAAAGCATCAGAATGCAGTTTCCACTCATGGGCCACCCTGACCACATGTCCTTTGGGAAGTCTCCCTATCACTCTTCCACACAGACCCGTGGGCGTGCACTTGAGTATACCTCAACCTGGGCAGGTGGCACCTGCCCCAGACTTTTGCATGGCCCTGTGTGGGAAGCAGGTGTGAGTTCTAATCCTCTCCTCATAGGAACAGACTAGGGAATGTGTTCAACTAATGTTCTAAACCAGTGTCTGTGAGTAAGTAGGGCAAGGGACATAGGGACAGCAAAGTCTCTAGACTGGGAAGTGACCGGGACACACTGAAGGGTTAAAGTCTTGAGGCAGTGACCACTTGTTGCTTGTTTAAGATCAGCAAATTCTGTCTAGCAGAGCAACACGTGGTGGTAATCCAAACACCTAGTTGGTTGTGTGCCTTTATAAGCCCTGCAAATCTTTAGCTCGGGGCTCTCCTCCTAGGCTCCACTGTGTCGGAGTGTAGGACGAGGCCCGAGCTGCAGCCTGTCTAAATAAAACCTGAGAATATCTGTAAAGTCTGACTCTCGGTGGTCTTCTTGGTGGGGGTTCTGCGACCTGGGCACAACACACATGGTCCACAAATCCCAGCTCTTTTTACAATATCAAATTTTAGAGAAGGAAGTCCTCTAAAAATGTGAATTATTAGAGAACCATTAGGTTAATTCTGAGCCTCCTGCCCCTCCATGATTCAGACACTAAGTAGCTATAATGAATCAGATGATGTGGGCCATGCTGCAGAACACAGTGAATAGCTAAAACTGGTGTTCTGAAGGTCTGACCCTGGAGGCAAGCTGCACTGGGTAAGTTTCCGGGGAGCTGACAGACCCCTATGACCTGGTGGAGCTCAGTGACAAAACCCACAATGCCAAAGTCACACAACAGACGCTTCTACCACAGAATCCCCATCCCTCCTAACTCCCTCTTCCCCAGATCCCAGAAAACAAGGGAACTGCAAGGCAGCTTCCAGGAAGAAGCTAAGCTAGGGAGAAGGGAGCAATTCACCGAGGGCAAAGAGGGATGAAGGGACTTCCTATATGTAGTTATGGGGAGGGCTCTACAACAGGACCCCTCACCCCAAATCTGCTCTGATTAGCTATATGCTGGTGGGTACATTTAATCATCTAAATCTCTGATTCTCAGCTAAGTGTTGTGGTACAACTTTGTGATCCCAGCACTTGGGAGGATCAGGCAGGAAGATCAACAGTTTAAGGTCATTCTTAGCTACATAACAAGTTTTCAGCCAACATGGTTGGACCTACATAGTAAGACCTTGCCAAAAAGGTAAAAAAACAAAAACAAACCTTTTAGATCTGTGGGTAATATTCTTAGCATATAGTAAATATAAAATGTTCAGTGTTGGGGCTGGGAAGGTGGCTCAGTGGTAGAGTGCTTGCTTTGCATGCATGAGGCCCTGGGTTCGATTCCTCAGCACCACATAAGCAGAAAAAGCCAGAAGTGATACTCTGGCTCAAGTGTAGAGCCTTGAGCTGAAGACCTGACGGCCAGCTCCCAGGCCCAGAGTTCAGACCCCACGATGGCAAAAAAAAAAAATGTTCAGTGTTAACTTCAAAAACAAAAGTGGCTCACACCTATAATCCTATTATAAAGCTACTCAGGAGGCTGAGATTTGAGGATCTCAGTTTAAACCCAGCCTGGGCAGGAAATCCAGTCCATGAGATTCATCTCCAATTAACTGCCAAAAAAAGCCAGAAGTAGAGCTGTGGCTCAAGTGGTAGAGTACTAGCCTTAAGTGAAAAAGCTCAGGGATAGCACCCAGGCCCCTTGAGTTCGTGTGTGTGTGTGTGTGTGTGTGTGTGTGAGAGAGAGAGAGAGAGAGAGAGAGTTCGTGTGTGTGTGTGTGTGCCTTAAGTGAAAAAGCTCAGGGATAGCACCCAGGCCCCTTGAGTTCGTGTGTGTGCGTGTGTGTGTTTGTGTGTTTAAACTAGTCCTGGAGAGAAGGCCTGGATGAAATAATCTCAACCTGAGTTGAAGAAGAGGAGAGATGGCAAAAGGGTCTGAATCCAAGAGCAGGGGAGCCTCAGTTGCATCCCGGGGGCTCTGGCTGCTGGGGCCATCACAGGAGAGTCACTACTCATCATTTGTTTCAGAAAGACCTAGAAATACTTAGAGGATGGACCAGAGGGCATCCCTGAAGGTGGGAAGGAGAGAGGGAGGGAGGAAAGGAGAAAGAGAGGGAGGGAGGAAGCAGAGGGTTGCCCCACAGTAGTCTCCCAGATGGAGGCAGAAGGAAGACAGGTACCAGGTGGAGGCTTTGTCTTGAATTTTAAAGACTAGGGAAGATGAACAATCTACAAGAGAGGTTGTTTGCCCAGAAGGCTTGAAGGCCTCAGCTACTCCAGGCAAGAATCTGTATCTTTAGATAAGAGATGGGACACTGCTGAGCAGATGCATGAAATAGTGCATTTGGAACATATATGTGGACAGAGCCCACACATTGTTCCCAACTTATGTTTACAGGTTGATTGACAGTACTGCCCCATGGATGGACTACCACATGCAGAGGAAAGCAAGATATATGGAAATAATTCAGAGTGAAACACTGCTCGTAATACACTTAGACTAATTAGAACAACTGTGTACCACTTGGAAAAGAACCCCAGGAAATTAAATATTAGTGGTTACAATGGCAAAATTATGGATAATCTCAACTAAGAGTTATGGGGACTGTGGAAAGGTCTAACAATATTCTCACACCTAGCTGGGGATGGGGGTGGGGCTGCTGGCCTCTGCTGAGAACAAGGATACTCCTAAATAGCCTACAAAAACAAAAAAAAGAATCTCCTGGTCAGAATGTCAGTAGGACTGAGGTGAGTATAAATAAATGCTAAGAGTTATGAAAGAGTCTCAGGGTGGATGCGACTAAGCTACTTGGGAGGCTGAGATGGAGAGGTTCCAGGTTCCTGGCCAGCCCAAGTAAAATGTTTAAGAGATGTCTTCTCAACCTATGCTGGATGTGGGGACACACATTTGCCAATCTATTTGAGAGGCTGACATGTGGAGGATCGTGGTTCTAGGCCAAACCAGGCAAAAAAGGTCATGAGGTTCCATCTCAACACAAGAAGCTAGGATCAGCAGTGCGTGCCTGATGACTCAGCTACAGCAGGAAGCACAAAATAGGAGGACTGCCATCCTGCCAACATCTTATCTCAAAATGACCGATGCCAAAAAGGGCTAGAGTTGTGTCTCAGCAATAGAGCACCTTCGTAGCAGGTGTGAGGCCCTGAGTTCAAATCCCAGTACTGCAAAGGAAAACAGAATTGAGAGCCTATTATTCTATTTTTTTTTAAGTGCCAACTCAGCCTAGCGAACCACTCCCCCCCCCCTTACCTAGAGACTCTCAGTTATTCCTTCATGATGGATCTTGTCAGCAGGAAAAGACTGCTCAACATTTCCTCCCTAAAAACCTTTTGGCCAGGCGCTGGTAGCTCAGGCCTGCAATCCTATCCTAGCTACTCAGGAAGCTGAGATCTGAGGATCACAGTTCAAATCCAGACTGGGCAGGAAGGTCTGTGAGACTCTTATGTCCAATTAACCACCAGAAAACCGGAAGTGGAACTGTGTAGTTCAAAGTGGCTGAGAGCTAGCCTTGAGCCACAAAGCTTAGGTATAGCGCCCAGGCCAAGTTCAAGCCCCAAGACCAACAACAACAACACCTTCTTTTGATCCTAAACAAGCATCCTAATTACCCAATGCCAGCTAAGGGAAAGGGCCTTCTGCACCTTCTTGCTTGCGTGCCCAAGTCCCAGCTGTGGCCTCACCATACAGAGTTCTCTTGTCTTCCCTCCAGTGGCTGGTACCCACACTACCCTTCCTGACTCTCTAGCCACCCTGGCTAGCTCATCCTCAAAGGTTAACGTTTCTCTGGGCTCTACTTGCTCAGATGATTAAGAATGGGCAAGTTTTAAACTTACAGGTTCAAATCTTGGCTCTTTTTACCTGGCAGTTGTATCGTAGCAGCCACCCCTCTCTGCCTTTGTGGGTGTGTATGTGTGTGTGTGTGCACACACATGCATGCGTGCGGGGGCAGAAATGGACTCAACAGTGCCCAATGTGCCAGAAGTGACAAATATGCTTCTGATCCTAAAGACCCAGCTTCTGGGTGGCAACCAAGCCTTGGCTAGCTGTGCACTGACCCTGTGGCCACACCCTCGGGGAAACAGGGCTACCTGGCTCAGCCACACAGACGTGAGGACAGGCCATAGGTATGTGACAAGGACAGAGGGGATGAGAATGAGCTAAATACACGTGGTGCTTGTGGTGACTGCTACCATGACTAGGCATCACTTTCATATGCCACAGCCACCTTGGGTAAGTCCTCCTACCAGAATTCCAGTGGGCACCAATAAGCTACTATTCTCCATATAATCTTAGTATCTCTTCCCCAGACCTAGAAGCTGTGCTCTGCAGATCCTGCAGGATACCTCTTCTGGGAGCTGTTCCATAAAGACCCCCCAACCCTAACTGATGTGGACTTCCTGCCAGGCTCATGTTCCCTAGTGCAGTGTCTGGAGGTCTTTTCTCTGCCTTTCTCTGACTTCTCCCAGGGTCAGCCAGTCACCAGGATCTACTTCCTGAGCAAATCTCAAATTGCCTCCCTTTGCTGTCTCCATGAGGCTCTGGCCACCATCACCTCTCACCTGTGGGCCGCTGCTTTTTGACTCAAGGCTGTCCCTCCAAACTCTTTTTACTTCATAGTGTAAGTGATCTTTCCAATATGAATCTCATCTCTGACACTGTCACCCTTCCGTGACTAACCAGTACCCTTGGGTTAAAGAGCCTTTCTCTCCCTGGTCCCTCTCCTGACTTCTCTGTCAGGTCCAGCCCCTCCACAGATATAACATCCTCCCAGCTGCCCTACCACCTACTTACTTTCGACCTGTCCTTCCCTGCCTTTGCAGGAGGCTCCCCATCATGTGGTCCCTGGATCCTTTTTTTTTTTTGGAAGGGAGGGGTCAGTGTGGGGCTTGAACTCAGGGCCTGGGCTCTGTCCCTGAGCTTTGGTCTTTAAGGCTAGCGCTTTTACCACTTTGAGCCAGAGCTGCCACTTCCAGGTTTTAGGCGGTTAACTGGAGATAAAAGAGACTCATGAACTTTTCTGCCTGGTTTTGAACCCTGATCCTCAGATCTCTGCCTCCTGAGTAGCTGGGATTACAGGTGTGATTCCCTAACAATCGGTCCTGGCTCCCTTTTTTTTTTTTCCTCCCCTGTCCTGGTTACTTTTCACGGGATCCTGGATTCTCCACGTGGATATATACACCATCCCCACTCAAACCCTTCCCTTATCTACCTCCCCACCATAGGCCAACTCTCTCTCTCCCTCCCTTTCTCTCTCTCTCCCTCCCTCAGTCTTTAGGACCAAGCCAGTTACTCGGAGCTGCCCTGGGATGGGGCCTTTTCCTAGGTCCCCAAACGCCACACCAAGGTTAAGTAGTGTGCAGGAAGCCCCGGTTTCCAGAAGACCCGTTAGGAATGAATGGATCCTCTCTAATCGTCAGGTCCGCGCCTCCAGATCGCGTTCCGAAAGGCTAAGGTTCCGTCCGCGTTCCTCTCCCAGCGCCAAGCGGGGGAAGGCCGGCCCCAGGTGCGGCTGTCCCTCTCCCCTCCCGGGGCCCCGCGCCCCCGCCGCCCCGCTCACCGGGCCGCCTGCATGAGCGCGCTCCAGCCGTAGTGGTTGCGGCCGTTGACCGAGGCGCCGCGGCGCAGCAGG